CCCCATAGAAACGTATCGTTGCAGACGCCCGCAGGAAGTGTGGAAACTCAAAACGGGACACGATTCGAGAGTATCGAAGTATCGAAAGACGCCCGCACATCGAACACACGCGTCCGGCGCGCTCCCGTCTGCGGTCCGGTACAGTCACGCGATCTGGTGGCTCTGGCTGCGAAGCTCAGCTTGGGTTGGGACTCGGGACTCGCAGTGCGAAGAGAGTCGCGATGAATCGAAATCTCCTCGAGTTGCATAAGCCCTGGGCGTGAAATCCAGCGTGCCCCCTGCGCTGCACTCTGCTGGCGGAAATTGAAACTCAAGCGCGCCGCCGCCGTCTGTAAAGTAATACATATCTAGTGGGCGGCGGAGACAGGGCTGCCACCATAGAGACGCAAACACACGCGCACACACACACACACACACACGCGCACGCACACACAAGGAGGGCACAGTATGGACAGCCTTGCAACCCGATCGGTCATTACGCGAATCCGTAAAGTCCAGCCGCATGGAAGCGACGTCGCTGAAAGGTCGGGTTGTCCTCCGCAGTGTGTGTGTGTGTGTGTGTGTGTATGTGTGTGTGTGTGTCTGAGGCCGCGTTGCCGTGATTATAGCAGTCTTTTTATTAGCTTTTCTTCATATTGATTCTGCTGGCGGTGATAGTGTGTCCCCCGGCGCGCCGATATCTGCGTCCACATAATCCAGAGACATCGACTCACATAATCCGCGGGTCGGGAGAGCACGGGGGCGGCCCGACAGCCGAGTCGAGCCGAGTGCAGTTTCCGAACCCCTCCCGAAGCGCTATCGAGACGAAACCTCGGCGAACCGCGCCAATTCACACACATTTCAATGGAAAATGTGAAACCATAAAAGACAGATCAATGACGGAGGGAGGGGTAAAGAAGAATAGCTTGAGGAGATTTTATCGGAAGAGCGGCGTGCACCACGCACTCAGGACCGAAGGGGATTTCGGTGATTTTGGGCCAGAAAGGACACATTTCGTTGTATTTAATGCGGTCAAAGGGAACGGTTAACGGCGCCGGACCGACATTTTACTTTAAAAAAGGCCAGACGGCTTTTTGAACTCAGTTCAAAAGTATACGGCGTTCCAAATGCGTAGCGCACTCACCGACCGCCCATTTCCCTGGCTCCGTGTGTGTGAGTGTGTGTGTGTGTGTGTGTGTGTGTGTGTGTGTGTGTGTGGTGTGTGTGTGTGTGTGTGTGTAAGGCGGGGCCATCGAAACGGAAAGGGCGCAAGGGGTCCTAACCCACGCTGGCGACCACCAGAGAAGCAGATGGCACTGCCACCTTCACACAAAATATTCTCCCCTCCCTGCGTCCGTGCTCGCCTTCCCCCACCCCCTCGCTTTTGGCACCATGGATAAACACTCATAAAGTAGCGAAGAAATCGCATGAAGCCGATATCTCCACATTTATGTGCTCCGCGCGCCCGTCTGCCCACCCGCCCGAGTTGTGTGTGTGTGTGTGTGTGTGTGGCGGGGAGCTCCGTCTCACTGGCACTCTGGTGTGAGAATGCGAAAGGAGGGACAGAGAAGGCGCATTGGGCGCAAAGGGAGCAGGGTCGTGGCGCTACCGGCACTGTCACACTCTGCGTGCGTCTGTGTGTGTGTGTGTGTGTGTGTGGGCGGGCGGGCGGTGCGTGTGTCGGATCGCGCTCCGTCCACGCGCAGTCCCGCGAGCCACTCCCTCCCCCTTTTTCCTCACACACACACTCACACACACGCTCTGCACGCATAAACCGCCTTTTCGCGCCAAAAAGTCGCTCATCTCGCGCCGACCCCTTGGAGCCCCAGCGCGCCGCGGCGACTCGAAGAAAGGGAGGAGGCGGGGGTGGCGGAGATCCCACGACGTGTTTATTTTTATGTTGCGGAAGTTATTGTCGAAAGCTATCGGGAACCGTGGTGCGATCGGGGCTGGCCTGTGCTTGGCCGACCTGGCTGGCTGGCGAGCGGCGAGTGGGGCACTGCACTGGAACAGACCGTCAAATTCTGTCAAAGCAAGGAGCTGGAGGACGCCGTCTGACAATAAACCCCACAAAACTGGCCTCGAAAACTCCCAAATGTTGAGACTCCAAAAACTGCTCTTTGTTCTCACTCGAAAACGAACGCAACGAAACAAATTTCTTTCCAAACAGGCCCGGCGGAGGAAAGGGGATGCGGGTCGGTTACGGGCTGGTACGGGCGTAACGTGTGCTCTATTTTTCATACAATGGCGTAACAGGATGGCGACATGCATGTCGAGTTTTCCCATTTCTCTTCGAGGAAAAGGAGGTTGCATTTGTGGTACGGAAGCTTCGGACGAAACCTTTGAAAATCTGGGGAGGCGGGCGCCTGCCGCACAGGCAGACCCGCAACACGTCCGTGTGTTGCAGTGCAGTCTATCCGCACCTTCGCAGGCGTTCGGCTCACGTAATTACTGTATTGCTCTTGTATTTCTAAACCCATCTCTTGAACAATAGTTGAAGTGATTTCAAGAAAATTAGTCTGAAGTGTCAAGGAAAGTACCATTCTGGCAGCTGATTTCAAAAAAATAATCGATGTCAATGTATTGAATTTCCTAACAGCGCGGACACAGATGGGGCTTCGATCGGAGCGCCCCACGCAGCAATGGGGGTTGCATTCAAGTTGGATGAAATAGGAAGTGGGGAACCCGAGTAGCTGCGGCGGTCTAGAGTGTCATGGCAGGGCCAAGAAATGAGGGGAAAAAAGGAAACTAGTTGGGTCAACTAAAACGTAGTTCGGGAAGTACTTGTACTCTGGTCAAACATTTCGCCTTGAAAGAAATTTCAGATAACTTCATCCGTGATTCCGGGACCGAAAAAAATCTGAATAAGAAAAATTGGTCCGTTGAGGCGGGAAATGGAGCGACGCAAGCCAGCCCACGCAATATTTCCTCTCCGTCTGACTGATTCATGTCCGACTCGTGTAATGGTCATAGACTCCTTCTATCTGCCGCCCTCATCCATCAGGCAGCGGCCGAGTCCCAACCGTCGTGTCTCCGTCTCTCTCGCACCCGCGGCACTCGACGGAGGAGAGTGAGAGAGACAGACCTTGGCGGCCGCGGCGCGGCCCATACCGCACCGGACCCTCCTATCGCCCGTCATCGCGAAGCTGACCATTGGGGAGGGGAGGGGGAAGCCTGTCCACAATAATATGACTTACTACCTCCTTTCTTAGCGCGCGGGCTGCATATTTATCTTGCAGACATTCCCACTGGAACAGCAGCGAGACACGAAGAGTGTGACCGGCCGGGGAACGGCCAGTCTCGAGCGGATGGCGGAGTCCAATCCCCGAAGGTCGAAATTCGGTCGCTTTTGGAATGGGAGGGCCCCATTCGGTTTGTTAAGGTAATCAATGGACGACGCCAACGACCCGTGATGTCACTACACCGCAGTTAACGTGTGGCACGGCCCGGGCACGGCCGTGGCGCGGGGAGGGTGTTTGTCGCCCTTCCCGCCCCTGCCCGCTCAACAGGCGGTGAGTTTCAACCGCACACACATTCACACACACAATAAATGTGCGTGTTGTATGAGCATTGTCGTGCGGAGTCTCTCGTGTGTGTATGTGTGTGTGTGTGTGTGTGTGTGTGTGTGTGTGTACTGGCGCGCGCGTGTGCGTGTTTTTGCGGGTGGAACGTCACCGAAAGCGCTTGCCCCGACCGGGGCTCGAACCCGGCCCCCTCAGGTTCAAGCAATGACACCGGGCTGCGGCTTCCGCAGTGAAAATGAAAAACGTGTTTCCCGCCATAAATCGCCAGGGGTGGCGGGGCAAAAAAAACAAAACTTGTTTCCCAGGTTATGTCTTCGCGCGCGGAGAATTAAAATATTACGCAAGAGATTAAAATGGGATTATTTATTAGGAAAGTTATAGGTGGCGTCCAGTGTGCAGTTTGTGCTCCAAATGGCCGCGTTGCTCCGCGTTGCCGCAAGGTGAGCCTCCGCGGGCCATCCGGCCGAAGACGGATTAAAAAATAAAAAGAGCCACAGGTGCTGGCGGGCATTTATCTCTGGTGCAATTGCACCCCCTCGCCGTGTCCCTCCGAGCCTCGCGCCGAGCGAGGCGCCCAGCCCAGCGGCCCGCCGGGAGGCAGCGTGCTGAAAGCCCCGCTAAAATTGAGGGGGGATAACAATAAGAAAAGTCTGGTCCCTGCGACGCACGCCCCAAGATGTGATCATCAAAATGGTTAGTGTGAGACAACCATTGTTTTCCGTAGTTTTCAAAACGCCGTTCATTCAATTCTTTCAAACTTCAGATTATTTGGATTTTTTGTGTCACGGTGTTGGTGTTTTTAACCGCCACTTTTCCTCAAAGTTCCCACAAAGAGCCATTTTTTATTAAGTGAATATTTTCGGTCTTTGCTTTTTTTTTAACGTTACGGCCACCAGGTCGGAAAACAAAGCTCGATGTGATGGCCGACCGACAAGTCAAGGGAAGTCAATTACATTGCGGGGTTCTCGTTACACGGCGATCGGGGCCTCGCAACCCGATACCGCACTGCCAGCCCGGAGCGTGGCGGTTGCATACCGTTTTTGAACAGCGACTGGGCGGCAGGAATTTACGTTTTTACCGGCCTGACCACGTGGACGGACCTCTCTGAATCCGAGATGCGCGCAATATCTTATGCGCAACACATCTGCTTACCTAGGCCTCGCACGAGTGTGTGTGTGTGTGTGTGTGCGTGTGAGTGTGTGCGTATATATAGATCCGCCGATCGGTCAAAGTCGTCCAGGCGGGCCGACTAAGCAATCGTCAAATGGATGGCCAGAGTCGAATGTCCGACCCGCAAACAGCATGTGCGGAAATAGCTCCCCTCTCTGTCTCTCTATTGGCTCAGCGCCACTGCTGACTTTCTCTCTCACACTCGACTCACCCCTAACGCCAGATGACGTCACACGCAAACTTTATCACGTTTTTTTTTTGTTTTTTTTAGCGTTTTGGTTTTTGTGTATGGTATGCCTATTTTATGGGTGAAGAAGAAAAATAAAATGAGGGTAATAATTTACTTTTATTAATAATAATAATAGTAATAATAATTAATAATGGTAATAATAGTACATATCTTTCCACACTTCCATAGCTCTACAAATACATAATGATAATAATAATAAATTTTGAGGGAAAGCGTTTGCATAATAGTTTAACACAGTTCACTAAGATTGGTAAATTTCTGAAGTTACAACTGTAAATTGACTAGAATATATACAAAACCCTACGAAGTCTTGAACTTAAGAAGGGCTTTACATGTCACAGTCACATAATCTAGAAGAATGCAACTCGCGAGCTACATTTAGATCAGGAGATCAAGTGGAAGGGATTGCTTCAGATCCCGGCCAACAGAGTAACACTGTGCCGTCGGCTGGACTTTGTCCGATCGACATTTGCCTCGGACAATAAAGTGTAAAAAGGGGCTCAGTTATACTAAAAACAGGAACACAGGATAGTATACAGATTTATACAATGTTTCATCCACATTCGATGTTTCGAAACCAAAGACAAACTGTTTTCAAAGGCTGGGTTTCCTAGAAATCAGACCGATTTACAGCACAAACAACAAAAGACGAAACACAGTTTATAATTTGTTAAAAGCACAACAGATAATTGGGAGTAACAACAACACGCCGCGTGCTTCGCGCAGCCAGATCAACATACTTCTTTTAAAGTTAAAACAAATCACAATGAGGAAAGAAAGAGCCTTCAACAAAAGCTACTATGCTTCAATCGTGCACGGCAAAACAGCGTCCAAAGCCTCAGAAACAAACACGGAACATCTTCCTTGTGCAACCGTTCACACAGTCTCAGAAACAAAACGGGGCGGCTGGATCTGGTCCGTCCTGTTCCCTATTGTGAGAATGTTCTGGCACTGCCTTCCACATCAGTCATCATCACTCAAAGCCGTCAGGCCGACCCAAACGGTTCGTAAGGGACTGATCCATCAGCGCACCGCCTTGGAGAAATCAACTTACAAACCGATGAGATATTGAAGGCTTTGTCCAGAAGGCGGTGAGATGACATCTTGCATCACGATTCACTCACTTCGTATAACGTTCGCACAGCCTGGGCAGTCAAAGGGGGACGGACCCCTCTGACTTCAGCGTCGCTTCAGCGTCCAGCCGCTAGGCGGCGCCACCGCGGACACTCATATGCGTCGACTCTTTAAATCTAGCTGAATATTCTTTGCTTCTATGAAACTACACTATAACACACGAGAGATCGGGGGCTTCCTGGTACACACACTCTTCAACTGATAATCGCCGCTCGGTGCTCAGTCGGCCACCTCAGGTCTGCAAGCAGAGAGAGAGGACGTTAGTCTCAGTTTGGGGGCGCGGGCGTGGGGCGCCACCGCATGGGGGAGAGAGAGGGGGAGACTCACCCTGCACGAGGGGTTTGCTGTCCAGGTCCATGGCTATCGCTTCCGTGTCGTGCTGCGCGTGCTGCGCGTGCTGCGCGTGCTGCGCGTGCTGCGCCAGGAGGCGGTGGTCCTGCTGTACGGCCTGCTCCTTCTGCTTCTGCTTGGCCTTCCTTTCGTTCTCCAGCTCCTGCGCCAGGTTTTCTGCAACAGCGGGGACATCTCATTGTAGAGCAAGCGGGCCGCTTAGGAGCTCTTTTGAGGTTATGTTCGGCCGCCCCATGCTGAGTCACACGGCAGGCTGCCGCTCTCTGCGTCTCGCTGCCGCTGGCCCGCGGGGGGCCCAAGGGTCCCGAAGGGTCGGCCTCCTCAGCCCGAGGGCTCCACGAGGGCTCAGCATTGTCTGGCCGAGACGCCGGCGGCACCGCCAGGGCACCGCCAGGCAGGGCACCGCCAGGCAGGGCACCGCGGGGCAGGGCGCCACGGGGGGCGCCATCGGACCGGCCGCGCGGCGCCTAGGGGCCGCCGCTAGGGGCCGCCGCTAGGGGCCGCCGCTAGGGGCGCCAGGGGCGGCGATTCGATCCATCGATACATCGAAATAACTCCATTGATTGATCCGCACCTGAGTAGTTCTGCCAGAAGGCGGCCGAGCGCGCCTGGCTCTGCACGGGTGCGGCCTGCGGCTGCGGCTGGCTCTGCGGCCGCGGCAGGGGCGCGCTGGCGGGCGACGCGGACCGTCGGTCCACCGGCGACGACCGCGGTGACGTCATCTCCGAGGTGCTGACCGATGAGGACGCCTTCATTTCTGTTGGCGGAAAAAACAAACCGTGTGAGTTCGCGGTGTTGCGGAACCGTTGGCATGTCCTGGGAATCGTCCTGGACGGCGTGACTCACCAGTGAGGATGCGCAGGGCCTCGCTGGAGGCGCCCGTCGTCCGCAGCACCTCCTCCAGCTGCGACCGCCGCTTCATCTCCAGCTCCAGCTGCTCCTGGAGTCGCCGCGACGCCCGGCGCACCTTCTTTAGCCGCTTCTGGCAGAGTACTGCAACAGACGCCGGAATCACTTAGTATTTTTGGGGAGCGTGTTGTTCGCGCTGCCTTACGTCGATCGTGTGCATAGACAATTAGCGCGTCGCTGATGAGAGAACTTAATTTCCCAGGGGCGGGCAAGGGGGGGAGAAGGGGGTCGCCACGATGGCGGCTGGCGATGACATACTCATGAGTATCCGAGTCCTGGTAGGCCCTCCGCGCTCGGCTCGGCTCGGCTCGGCCCGGCTCGGCTCGGCACACGCGCGTGATGGAACCTAATTACAAGCGTCATTCACAAATAATGACTCGGCGCCGCGACGCCATGTGAGCTGGGAGCGCTGGGCGAGCTGGGGTGGCACTTACGGGAAGGGGAAGGGAGCGCCTTGGGGCCGGAGTGTCGAGGTGTCTCAGCCTCAAGGTGTCCAACAGTCACCTTAAGGTGTCCTGCTACTTCCACGTTGAGGTGTTCCAGCACTACCTTAAGGTGTTTTAGAACTGCCTTAGGGTGTTTTAGAACTACCTTAAGGTGTTTTAGAACTACCTTAAGGTGTTTTAGAACTGCCTTAGGGTGTTTTAGAACTACCTTAAGGTGTTTTAGAACTACCTTAAGGTGTTTTAGAACTGCCTTAGGGTGTTTTAGAACTACCTTAAAGTGTCTTGAAACTATCTTAAAATGTCAGGGCTACCTTAAGGTGTCAGGGCTACCTTAAGGTGTCAGGGCTACCTTAAGGTGTCAGGGCTACCTTAAGGTGTCAGGGCTACCTTAAGGTGTCAGGGCTACCTTAAGGTGTCAGGGCTACCTTAAGGTGTCAGGGCTACCTTAAGGTGTCAGGGCTACCTTAAGGTGTCAGGGCTACCTTAAGGTGTCAGGGCTACCTTAAGGTGTCAGGGCTACCTTAAGGTGTCAGGGCTACGGCGTCAGGGCTACCTTAAGGCGTCAGGGCTACCTTAAGGCGTCAGGGCTACCTTAAGGCGTCAGGGCTACCTTAAGGCGTCAGGGCTACCTTAAGGTGTCAGGGTCAGGGCTACGTTAAGGTGTCAGGGCTACCTTAAGGTGTAGGGGCTACCTTAGGATGCCAGGGCTACCCTAAACTGTCTTCGGGCGGAAGCTAGCAAGCCTACTGGCAGTACTGAACTCCAGCCCCTACAGACTAGCGCAACGTGCTTAATGAACTTGGAATCCAGCGCGCAAAATTTTGGACCACGTAAGAAGCGTTGCCGAATTGCGCGGCGTAATCGGTTCGCGCTCCGTAATATATCACCGTGATGGCGTCGGGGGAAGGGGGGAGGGGGTGACAGGTGTAGGGCGCGAACGGGGTGTCGCGTTGCAGCAATTTGCACCTATAACGGTGTTAATGGCGTCCCCAGGGGACGAACAGGGGGTTGCACTGTGAAACTCACCCCTGGTTCTCGTCTCGTCCAACAGCTGGCGCTCCAAGCTCTCCTTGACTTCTCTCTCCCGCATCACGTCCATCTTGAGCTCGGCTGGAAAAGGAAAGGCACTGCGTCAGAGAGGACGGACAGACAGACACTGAAAGGCAACCTGATTGGCGCGGCAGTGAGTGTGTGTGTGGCAGCGATAAGGTACGCGAGCAATCTCAATTTGACTGAGTAGTGACTCGATTGTTACGCGCGAGTAGAGATGGGCGGACGGACGGACGGACGGACAGACGGACAGAACGGTGAAGGGGGAATGTGCATGGCTGGCCATCGCTTTAGGGTAATAGAGTGAGCCATCCACCCCAATTCAGCATGCTGCCGTACTTCCCCCACTCCCCGCGGCCCCGCGCGGTCCCGCTGCCCTGCGCCCCGCGGCCTGATGAATCGGCCGCCTCTAGTGACACGGCCGGCACGGCACTGCCACGGCAGGGACCTTGTTTACGCGCACTGATTGGGTGACGCTATCCGACCAAATCAGCTGCATTGACCACACACTCACACACAATCACACTCACACACACGCACACACACTCACCTTTCTCCATGTTGATTTGCCGCTCCTGCTGGCGGGCGTTGTCCGCAGCCACCTGCAGCAGGCCCTCGATGTTGCGGAGGATGGTCTCGGTGGAGGTGAGGCGGGGGTCGCCGCCGACGGAGGCCTTGGCGGCCATGCCGGCGCCCAGCCCCGCGCCGAGGCCGGCGAGCGGGGCCACGCCGACGCCCACGGTGAGGTGCGCCAGGTTAGCGGGCATCGGAGGCGGCGAGGACCCCGGCGAACTCCTGGGCGGCTTGGTGTCCTGGTTGTCGTCGTCCTCGTCCGGGTTCGAGTTGAGGTCCTCGTCGTCGTCCTTATCCGAGGCGCCGCCCTCGCTGTCCGAGTGGTCGACGGGGGAGCCGGCGGAGGCGCGCGAGCCGGCTGACGCCGCGGACCCCGCCGTGCCCTTGGACAGGTTGAGCACGGGGCTGTGGCCGTTGGAGAAGTCCTCGCCCTGGGACCCCAGCGAGCCCAGCGAGCCCAGCGAACCCAGCGCGCCCTGGCGGATGTCGCCGTCGCCGCGGCCCTGGCCGTCCCGGAGCCTGCAACAACAAAAACAGCGCGGTTAGACAACAACAACAAACACGTTTGCATTTTTAAGATTGGCATTATTTTTTACGCACGGCGCGGCGTCCGGCAGGGCGTCCGGCAGGGCGTCCAGCCCGCGGCGAAAATACTTAAAAATCGCCCCACGACCTTTAGCATGCTTTAGCATGCTTTAGCAGGCCGACGGGAGCACTAGGCGTAAACGGACTGACCGCCCGTCCACCCGTGCAGCCGTAAACGCACGCACACTCACACTCTCACACACACACAACGCGGATTCCCGCAACAACAGACGATTCCGAGAGCGCGCGCCGAAATTGGCAAACTAACCTGGATCCCTTGTCCCACTTTATAGAAAGTTTCCCAGACCGCAGTGATAACAGTAACAATGATAATGACGATAAAAAATGATTATGATAATCAGGATGAGGCGGGCAGTAAGGTACTGGTAGTTAGCAACAAACCAGTCGCTCTGATATAAAACACGGGCAGACAACGACGCGTTGCGAAGGGCGTGGAAGTGCAGCCTTCATTAGCATGCGGGAGAGAGAGAGAGAGAGAGAGAGAGAGAGAGAGAGAGAGAGAGAGAGAGAGAGAGAGAGACGGAGAAAGGCGCAATCCGGCATTGGGATAAACGTATAATTAAATGCAATTGAGAGCTCTCGTTACCCGGACGGGATATGAGGTCCTCCTCTCGCGAAACGACTCGCAGAACGGGGCGCCTTACCGGTATTCGAACCCGGAACCAGCCGGGGCCCACCATTACCCTAGCAAAGTGCTTCATTGCGCTCACGTCGGTGTCGTTAGTGGCAGGAGGGAAAACTGAGCTACTTTTTATTTTTTTGCAACAAAAAATTATGAAAAATTTAGTTTTTTGCAGTTTATAAATTGGTTTCAAAAATCAATCTACGAAAAATTAGAAAAAATTCAGGAGGAGAAAATAATTAAATCGAGCTTGAGATATTATTTGGCGGTTTCGAGGCAAGGACTCGGCGCTGGCAGGGTCGGGCGATGCGGTTGGGATAAGCGAGCGAGCAGTCTTGCCAACGGTCCGCCACGATTTAGCATACACTTACGCTACACTACATCGCAGAAATCCCACCGCGAAATAAAGACCTTCTCTCTTTCACCCTTTTTTTTCCTCCTCCTCCCCCTCCTTCTTCTTCTTTCATTTCTCGCTGGGCCCCGCCGTATCGCCGGATCGCCAGCGCGGGAAACTAGTGGTGGTACTAAATAGGGTGATGACTGTACAAGCGGGTAGCATCTCGATAAGCAAGGAGAGGGCCGACGGAGCACAACAAGACCATCACGTTGTGTTTGCTAATCACTTCTTTATAAAGCGAGTCCGATTCGTGCCGTACTGCGGACTCATTCCGAACAGCCGGCCTTCGACGCGGCGGTCTCTCTCGCGCTCGTGGGGCCGTGGGGCGTCCTCGGGGCGTCCCGGAGGAGTGCGAGAGAGACTGAGCGACGAAAGGGGGCTTCGGAACCAGCCTGCTGTGGCGCTAACCATTCGATTCGGGGCCCGGCAGAGCGGCAGACCGGCAGAGCCCCCGGTGGGGCGCCCCGGCCGGCCCCGCGCCGCAGGGGCCCACAGGCAGCCGCGCGAGCCGAGCCGAGCCGAGCCGAGCCGACCGAGCCGAGCCGAAGGAAAGCGTTTGGCCGTGGAAAAGCGAGTTTAAGTGAGCTTTGAAAGGAACTGGTACGGGGCGAGCGCTGGACGAGTGCGGGACGGGCCGCGAACACACGGTAGTAGAATGCTAAACGGAATGGCACTGGGCAGTAGGCCTGGGCAACACGCAGCTACGCCCCGCCGCGCCCCGCCGCGCCCCGCCGCGCCCCCGCTGTGCGCTGTGGGTACCCACACCGCCTAACGAGGGGCCGCGTGGGTGCGAGTGGGTGTCGGTGTGGGCGCCAATGCCAATGTGAATGCGAATATGGGAATGGATGTGAATGTGGGTGTGAGTATGCGCGAGCTCCATATGCGAGTTTCTAGCAGGACGGCGTGCATGCGTGTGCGTGCGTGCGTGTGCGTGTGTGTGTGTGTGCATGTGTGTGTGTGTGTGTGTGTGCGCGCGCGCGCGTGTGTGTGTGCGTGTGCGTGTGTATGTGTGTGTGTGCGTGTGTGCGTGTGTGTGGTCCTAATGGCGCGAATAATCGCAGAGACACAGACCGTCATTTGGGATTTGCTATCAAGTTTCGCTCGTATCACTGTCAGAGGGATGGAGAGGGTCCGGTCGGCTCCGCTACGCTACGCTGCTGCTGCTGCTGAGAGGCCCGCTGGGTACACAGCCGGAAAACCGTGGCCAGAAACCACCACACCGCCTTGTAAGCCCTCGCCGTTCCGCCCCGTAAAACATCCAGGCGCGTTGTTGCTGTTCTGCTTTTGCGCAGCGAAATGTCATTCAAGAACCTGTTGCGAGCGTCAGAGCGGAAGAGGGAAAAATCCCCGCTGTGACGGGAGATTTCCCTCCGCGCGTGCGTGCGCGCGCCGTGTTTTGCTTCATATCGAGAGCACACGCACACAGACACACACAACGGCTGCAATGGGCAGAGAGGGCCACGTGCATAATTCAACATCTTTTCGAATGCATTTCTGTTCTTTGATTATGAAAGGGGTGAGCCGGCGGGCCACGCCGCGCTGTAATATGCATGGCATCCCCCCGCTAATGGGTAACTAGGGTTGCCATTCGGCGTTCCCGGCCGCCGCCGCCAGGCCGCCTCGGATGAGCCGTCGGCAAGCCTGCCAGTTGGCAACCCGAGTCTTGACGGAAGGTGGCCAACGCATCCCTCAGGGAGGGAGGGAGGGAGAGAGAGAGAGAGAGAGAGAGAGAGAGAGAGAGAGAGAGAGAGAGAGAGAGAGAGAGAGAGAGAGAGAGAGAAATAAAAACGCACAAAATGAGTTCTAGGTTCGCGAAAGCGAGAGCCGCAACCGAGTGGTGGGGCGGGGCGGGGCGACCTAGAGATGTGATGAGAGGGTTGGAACACATCTCGCAGCGATGACACTGCCAGTGTATGAATACAGAGCGCGGCATAGCACGCACAGCACGCAAAGCGCGCCCACCATGACTTTTGCGGGCATTAATATTTAAACGCCCCACCCCTTTGCCACTTTAACGCTCGTGGGCTTTTCATTGCATTCGCGGCAATGAGGGAGAGAGAGACAACGCGAATGTAGCGCGCGAGGTTTGACGCTTGTTTCGTGACCATGCGGGCCATCCGGAGGGGGGCGGTGAACAGCTACACCCCAAAAATGTAGGCGCTCTGTCCTTCCTTCCTTACCTTTCCAGGTGCTTGACGATGTCCTCATACGCCGCGCGACAGTCTTCCCAGATACCCGATCTAAGAGGGACAAAGCAAATTTCGTTTTCGTTAAATTATTTTACTTTTTAAAATTTCATATTTATTTTTTTTTTAAAAAAAGGTCAAAATTTCTTTCAGGTGTGAGCTGGCTTGATTCAGGTGACAGATCCGGGGCAGGAAATGCGATTTGTCGCCGCGTCTGAGTCGCCCCGACCCCACCACTTTGCTTTGGCCCAGCGGCCACAAAAAGCAACAAGAAATACTAATCGGATTGCCGCATTGCAGACGGGGCCGCCGACAGGCTTGCGAGAAAGGGTTTTCAATTCCCATTATTTTGCGATATTTCTATTGACCAGAACGGGACAGTACTTGCGGTTTGCCAAAAAAGCATAATTTGCTTTTTTTTTTAGAAACAAGCAAAAAAGAGGTTAGGTTGGCAAGCGTCGCGTGTCTGCATTTGAACGAAAATGTTTCCGTGGTTGGTAGCACTAGCTGTCGGACTTCAAGGCGAGCCGAGGCGGCTGGACGACCGGATTTACATGCTGATGGCGCGGACTCGTACTTCGTGAAAGCCCTTACCTGGCGATGGCCTCGAGCGGCGCCGACTGGCCCTTGAGCACCGGGTGCGGCAGGCTGGGGTGGTAGAACTGGTGCATCGGGTGCAGGTGAGTGGGCGGTGCGTTGTATCCGTTGGACAGCAGCGGTGACTTCTCCATGCGGGACTCTGCACACACACAAACAAAGAAAAACACGAGTAAAATTAGTCTTGTCATCAACTTAACAGGGATTTTAAAAAAATCACGTTAAAAATTTTAGCTTTTATTTAGCACAGCAGCACACAGATGTTTTGTGTTAACTTGTCAATTTAAAAAAAAAACTCAAGTTGAAAACTTTGGGTTTTTTTTGCACTGTAGATTTTAGAAAAGTCTAAGTTAAAAATTTTAGGGTTTTTTTTTAGCACAGTAGATTTTGGGTGGTCGTCCAACCCGTCGATGAAAGACAGTCCCGTCAAAACTGCACCGACACCCCAACAGATCAAACAGATGATGCGATACCCCACCCTCCCCCTCCCCTTCCCCCGCCCGCGCGTGCCCGATTCAAATCACAAGCCAGCGATATGACTGGCCGTGCCACGCGCGCAGCGCGGCACAAACAAAAAAAGGATTAAAATTAAACAAACGGAAAGGACGTTGAAGTTATTACCGCATGTCGAATTTTTATCTGACGTGCAGATGCCGGCCGGGACGATAGTGGTGGCTTCGCGGGGCTGAGAGCGCTGCTGGGAGCGCCGAGAGCGCCGAGAGCGGACCCCTAGAGTAACTCAATGAGATACGCCAGTCCTCTCCGTGCTCCGCCCTCTAATTCCAACCCTTGCCGTTTTTACAGACGCGGGGGATGAATTCATGATTTCACAATGACGCGCCAAAAAATGGATGAGCCACTCCCCTTGAAGGAGCGGCGGCACAGCGCAGTGTGTCTGGTGGTCCATTGCGACCGCAGTGCGGTCGCAGAGCGGTCACAGAGCGGTCGCGGCGGTCGGGGTGTGTTCCTAACGCTGTTAATGCCCGGTCGGTGTGACCACGCCGCTTCCGGCGGGGCTGGCGAGGCTGGCGGGGCTGGCGGGGCTGGCAGGGCAGGCAGGGCAGGCAACCGCCACTGCTCCCCACTCGGCACACCTCGCTGACCACAAGCGCGGTCAGCCGCTATGCCGCATTCCAGTCTAAATTCATAGACCACCCTCGCTAGTGTGCCGGTCCTGCCGGTCCCCCGGCCGGTCAAGGAGGCTCTCACCGCCCTCGTGAAACACCGTGAAACGGACCGACAAATGGCCGATCGTTAATCCACCGCCCTCTTGTTTTCCCGTATCGACGCGCGGCGGCCGGGCAGGGCCGGCAGGGCTTTGGGCGGCAGGGCGCGGCAAAGGTGTCGCCCTTTGTAGTGCGGCCCTTGCAGGCCCTTGTTCACAGCCTCGCGGCCCTGCGGCCCTGCCGGCCTGGCGCCACCACACCCTAAAAGGCCCCGGCACGCCGGCATATTTCCCGCGCTTTATTTGAATGTGTGGCCAAGGCTATTAATCGCGGGGACAAAGCCTTTATCCCGGAAGTACAAATCGCGCCCTTTCCGGGAATTAATTTGGGAGATAATTATTGAAAAGGGACGGGCGAACAAGGCGAACAAGGCTCTTGCGACCGGCATCGACCACTCACCTCCCATGGGTCCGTTCTCGAAGGGCGCGAAGTCGCCGTTCTCCAAGCGGTGCTTCTTGAGCTGCGGGTGTCCCTGCAGCGAGGCGGGCAGGCTCAGCCCCATGGGCACTCTCTTCGGCGGTCTGCCCGGCCGGCTGCTGAAACAGAACACACCCTTTCCTCATACTTGCGGTCCAAAAATGTCCCTCTGGCAGAGACACTCTCCATCGACAGGGCGGAGGGAAGTGCGCGCGTTTTTTGGGGTGTTTTCACAAAGAGAAAGGGGAAAGGGTGATTTTTACAATAAAGAAATGCGACTGCCTCCAGCGCACCCAGCCCTTTCGTGCCGGAGGCGGAAGCATCCATATTTTTGTGAGAAGAGAAAAAAGTTTGAAAGTAAATAAATCAAGGATGGGATTCACTCCGTGGCTACACTAAAGGAATTTCGGGGTTTTGCGTTTTGTGATTGACTAATTAAGTTAGAGCCGAGCTGCCTACCTGTCTGGGGTTCTGTGAGACGTCAAGCACCTGAAAAAAGAAGAAAGGAAAAAATGTACTCGAATCGTCAAAGCTTTACCATTTTATTTTTATTTTTTTTTCCTTTTCCCAGACTCACAGGCAACAGGGCTCTAATCTTTTTGTCTAGTTCTGGTGTTGTTCATGCAATCTTGGCATGTAATACTTCTCTAGAAGTGAGACTCTACTATGTGCATCACGGAATGTGCAAAAAGATCGGAAAGGGCGGGGAATACAATAGAGACAAGTCCTGTTACCTGAGAGACTGGATAGAAGAGTTTCACTCTGCCGGAAGAAAACAAATAGAGCACAAGAAAACAAAAACTAAAAGCCGGGTAGTCACAACTTTCAAGACTAGAGATCTATGAAGACGGAGAAAAGCAGTTCGTCACCATGAGAAAAATATATACACCGCTAAAGATGCGTGTGTCGCAGCGCCCAAAATTACCGAAATGAAACGACCCCCACGATCCACTCCATTCCCGCCTCCATAACAGTTATTGATCGCCGTCTCTCTCGCACACCGGGGGCCGGAGGGACAGCACGGCATGCGTGTACTCGGCGGGCAGGTGTTGAGACACTCATTCTCCTAATTGCTCTATTCCCTGGGAACTTGTTAATGGCTGAAACCCAATACAAGCAGGCGTTGCCATGACAAATTGAATCCATTCTTCCCTTCGCCTGCCTTTCCCCTGCCAGTGTGATCCAGGGTTATTGATTCTCAATAACAACAACAACAACAACAACAACAAAAGACAACCCACTCCTTTTGCCCGCGCGCGCGCGGCTCCTCTCTGTCTTTTGAGCCCTTGTTTTATTTTTTACCCGAAATCCAAATTGAGTTACAGGTGTTCCGAGCTTGAGGATGGCACCAAAACAAAAACAATATTTCATCAAGCAGCAACAATAACAGCGGGCGGCGGTATTTTCTCTCAAACTCCCTTCGCACTGCCTTGCAGTGTGCTCGCTGCCTCGCTGGCACACACACACACTCACACACAGCGGGGGCAGAAGGAAAAATAACCGATTCGTGGCGGTAAAACAAATAAGCCGCTCAGGTCCGTATTATTGGGACCTCATCACCAGTCGCCCTCCCCCCCCCCCCCTTTCGCTCTGAATGGCAAAACAGCTGTCCTCACAGGAAGGGAAACGTTATGCCGATCATCAATGCACGAAGAAGAGATTAATTCGCAAAGGCCACTTTCCGTCGCCTTGAAAACACGGCCATAAAAATGCAGGCGGGCACGAGGGGCACCGGACCGGCCGACCCGACGGTCCTTTCCGCCCCACAACATTGTGACGTGGCCGGGGGAGAGGGGGGCGTGGCGAGCACGCCCTCCATGCTCACGCACGCGCCGTTTGAATTTTTCCCGCCGCTCCTATGCGGGTGCGAGAGAGACGGGGCGACAGGTGAGGCGGGCCCCGGACGCGGGTGCGAGCGAGACAGGTGGGACGGCCATTCATTATGGAGCAGCCGCCTTTTCTGTCTAATGAAGTGTATTATGTCGACTCGAATTGCTAATTCATCCTTTTGTAATTGATCCGCGGGTAATTAAATAAGGATTCCTTCGACCATCAATCAAATAACGGGCCGGCAAACATGTCGCACTCCTTTCGATTCCGCTCTGTCTCTCTCGCTCCCCCGCGCGGGGCGCCCCGTGAGTGCGATGGAGACAGAGCGACTGCAGCGGCGTTCACAATATTTGCGGTGGCCGGGGACTTGAACGCCGGGCGTGGCGGGCGTTGCCGCGGGGCGTAAGCGGCGACGTCGCGCGCGACCTCCGCGACGACGACCAGGACGCCGTGCCCGCCGTGCCGGAGGGGAGGCGCCGCCACTGGAGGGCCTCCGGCTGCCTCCGGCGCGTCGCAGCGCCGCCACTGCCGCGACGACACTCACAGCGGAATCGGACGGGCCGACGGAGCGGCCGAGGCCGGCGCGGCTCGGGACGCGCAGCGCGCGCAGCCCATTCGGATTCGGATCCGAATGCCCGTCGGGAGGGGAGGCAACGCCGAGCAATGCCAGTCGGCATTCGGAAATGCTGCTCGGCTCCGTCTGTGCCCGCCGGCACTCTCCCTCTCTCTCTCTCTCTCGCACTCGCGGGGGAGCGAGAGAGACAGAGAGACTGGCCGGCGCCGCGGGAGTCGCGGAGGGGAGCGACGGGGTGAGCGTCGCCGGGGTAGGGAAGGTTAGGGGAGCACCCACGTGCCACGCCAGCAGCGCCAGCGAGGGTCTCTCTCGCACTCACGGGGCGTCGCGGGTAGGTGCGAGAGAGACAGAGCGACTCCCCGGATGAGTCGGCGGGGCGGTTCCGAACGGTGTTCGGCGTCCCTCTCGCACTCACGGGGCGTCCCGTGTGGGTGCGAGAGAGACGGCCGCTGCATTCCCCGCGTCAATCAGTCGGCACGAAAACGGGAAAGCCGCGCCGACCGAAACTGGAAACGATCCAGGCGGGCGTGAACGCCACCACCGTTCTGTCTCTGACGCACTCACGGTGCGATCCGTAAGGGAGTGAGAGAGACAGAGCGACGAGGCGGTTCTTCGGAATCCCTTGGCAGGGGGGAAGGACCAAGGACCTTTAGGAAAGCAATGTGCGTTGCGTGAGTGTGTGTGGAAGAGTGCGTTTGTGTGTCTCTGTTACGTGTGTCTGTGTGTGAGAGAGGGGGGGGGGGGGATTAGCTGGCCACGGGTCCAGGACCCACAGCAGTAACCCCGCAGAGCGCTGCAGAACGCCGGCAGAGTGTACAGAGTCTGTTTTATTGTGTTTCTCATTGTCTCAGCGGCTGGCGGTCCTGGCGGTGGCGCAGTCGTCGCTCTGTCCCTCTCGCACTCGCAGGGCATCACGACAGAGGTGCGAGAGGGACAGAGCGACGGCGGGAGGGAGCAGCGAGAGAGACACGCTGTGAAATACGGCCTGGGATTCAATTAAACGGCCAATGTGCCCCAAATAATAAGGATTGTTATCCAGCGTTATACGACGCGCGATGCCTTGCGTTGCGTTTGTAGGAATGACCGCAAGGGGGCGCCACAGTGCGGGCCACGGACAGAGCAACACGGAAGGACATAAATCTGGCGAGCGTCGCCGCACTGTAAGGAAGGGAGAAAGGTGAAATTGCTCCAGAAGGGGGAAGAGCTTGTTCCTTTTCGTCACCTGCGAGGGTACCTGCGAGGGCTGGCCGGCCTGGTTGAAAGGCCAGCTGAGCGGGCCTCTCTCCCGCCCCCACCCCACCCACCCACCCCCCACCCCACCCCAACCCCACCACGAGCTGCTCTAGTTTTTAGCCGACCGCCTCGCCACTCCCCCAGCAGGCTGCTTCGGAACGGCACGCTTCGTCTCCCTCGCACTCACGGGGCGTCCCGGAGGGGTGCGAGAGAGACGACGCTGCCGCGCTCGGAATTAGCAGACACCCTCCCACCCTTTTCGCGCCACATGGCCCACGACGGGATCGCGGGTTCAAATCCCCGCATCTGAGACGTCACTGACGCGTTTGGGACGCGTTTTGGACGCGTTTCGGACACGCGCGAGTCATAAAGTCCCGTAAGGCCTCCGGCCGCACCGGCCGAGCTAGCCAGCCGATCCACGATCGAGCTAGCCGAATCATTACAGCCCCACTTAGATTAGTATGCGCGAGAGTCGATGACTGGGACCGCGTTCGCTCCGTTCACTCCGTTTATTCGAACGACGCCATCGTCATTTCAATGGAAATCGCTATAAAAATAAAAATAGCCCATGACGCCGCGACGCGTAGAATCAGACGACGGGGCACTTCATACACACACACACTCACACACACTCACACACACTCACACACACACACACTCACACAAACACACACACACCCGAACACACACGCGAGCTCACACACACACACACACGTACGCACGCACTTACACGCCGGCACCATAGGAACTAACTAATTGCATGGCGAATATAGGACTGGTGGTTCAACCCAATAATTATGTACTGCCTGCTGCTATATTGTGAGACACGGCGTCTCTCTCTCTCTCTCTCTCTCTCTCTCTCTCTCTCTCTCTCTCTCTCTCGCCCTGCGTCCGCCTACCCTCGCTCCCTCCAAGACGCCACTGAGACGATTAATGTCGCACATACACGGAAACTTAGAGGGTGGCTTTCGGAAGGAGACGGCGGACCAGTAACACTGTTGCTGACGCAACACTTTCGGCGATCGGCGGCGGCGCCCTCGGCAGCGCCACTTTGGACGCGTGGCCGTGGGTTCGATTCCCGGCGCCGCGAGTTCCATTCTCCGGGCGCCTTTTTGTCCGTAACGAGTTTCGGTTCTGACACGGCCGAGCCTGCGCCAGCACAGCAGCGCCCGGCCCGGATTGATACGGGTTCGTCACGAACTGCCGACGGCGCCGCCCGCGCCGCCCTCTGCCGGCCAAGGCGCGCCGCGCGCCCCATTTGACTGCCGAGCGAAATGGGGCTTTCACTAGGAAAACTTTGGGAAAGGCGGCGCCCAAAATTCGTCCTTCAAATTGGGAGGAAATGATAATTCAATAACGCGTGCGTACGTGTGAGAGAGACAGCGAGTGTGCGCGCGCCCAAATTCGAAGTGGTTCCCCCTTCAAAGTTAGTAGGGAGCGACGATGCGCGAAGATGAGAGATGAGATCGCAGAGACGGGGCGACATCCCTTCGCCCCGCCGGCACCGCCAGCCCCGCCAGCACCGCCACTTGTTCGGCCGAGCAATCCGAGCTTATGACTGTTGCGTCGGTTCTCACGATGTAAGGGAACCGGTTTCGCAGTGAGTCGCTTGCGCCTCGACAAATTCCCAAATCGCGTTTTACGTATTCAGCGCCGAAAGCTTTCGGCCCTTGTGTCGTGTCCCCCTGCGGACCTCACGCCGTGTGCTGTAGCAAAACGACCGGCCAAAACAGCCGGAGGAACGAATGAGCGAATCACTGTAAAAATTTGTTGTCACTTTTCAAGAGAAGAAAAAGGAGGACATTTTTATTAACTTTAAAATGCTGAAAATTTTATCGAAAATTGATGAACTTTTTATTTAAGCTCCTACACTCATTGCATGGGCGTGATAAAAATGTCATTGACAAGTTTGACGACATTCTTGTAAGAAAAATAAACCTTTTGCTGTAACGTCGTGCGTTTGCGTTTCGGTGTGTAACAGGCTCGTCGCAGCCACGCTCAGTTCGATTCCAAAAAAAATAGTCAGGTCGTCAGTAGTCCCGGTGCATGCTACTGTCGTCGCTCTGTCACGCGTCCTTTTGTTGGCGGGGGCGATGCGTCACCTCACCAAGGTGTCGACCGACGAGGCGGCTCCTTTGCGGCGAGACGCATCGCGATGTTCGGCCGGTCCGGCGGCGCTAACCCAAACAGAGCGAGATTCCTCGCAGGGATAAAGAGATAAATACGCGGTCCGTAAATAAAGAGAAAAATTGGGGCAGCCGGGGCAGGGCGGGCCGAGGCGGGCCGAGGCAGACGGCGCGCCAGGTCGCCTAATCACGGGGTGCCAAACGTTCTCGGAAAGAGATCCCCAAAATGCCCGGCCGCGTACAATTAGGGCCGGGCTGAGCGGGGAGGTGTCATTCCCAGTGGGTCATTCCGAAGCACTGCTTGCGGCGCTCTGTCTGTCTCCCTCGCATCCCTAAGGAGCGCCCGATGAGAGCGCGAATGTCATTCACTGAGAGCCCATGCTGCAATGGACTTCCGGGTTCCGCCCCTTCGCGCGCCCTGCGTAGCCTCGGATTTGTTGTTGTTATTGATGTTGTTGTTCTTGTTGTTGTTACTGTCGTTGATCAAAACCCAAATAAACGCGAGGAAAGACAGTTGCAGGCGAAGGAAGAAAACCAAGCGAGTTCGGCTAAGTTGAAGACGAGAACAAGAACGGAGACGGATTGAAAGATGTCAGTCCCCTTAAGTTTGACCACCTCGACTAGGGAAACAGGAGGGTGGCGAAACAGTACCTGGCCGTGGTGCAGTCGCGGTACAGCGTGTCGAAGTCCTTGCAGGAGAGCAGCTTGCAGCGGTTGACGCCGGGCTGGATGGCGCCCAGGCCCCTCAGGATGCGGACCTGCTCCACGTTGCACACGAGTGGCACAATGTCCAGGCGCTTGAGCTTGGTGTACACGGTGTGCAGCCCGCCCACCAGGTGCTTCAGGAAGAGCTCGAAGGCCTGCGGCAGGCACAGCATGGTCTCGCCGTTGATCATGAAGGCGGCCACCTTCTGGCCGCGGTACGTCACCAGCTTGCACTCGTTGGCCGTGGGGTCCGAGCTGGAGATGGGCGGCGGGCTGTTGTACGACCGGGGCGGGTGGCCCGGGTGGCCGGCGGGGTGGCCGGCGGGGCCCTGGTGGCCGTGGTGGGCCTGAGCCTGCGCCTGGGCCTGCGCCTGGGCCGCGGCCATGAACTCGAGCGGGTTGGTGTGGCCGGCGTGCTGCACCAGCGAGTTGAAGAGGCCGAGGCCGGGCGGCCCGAGGTGCATCCTGGGGTGCATCATGGAGGGCGGGCTGAGCTGCGCCGAGGCCGGCAGGTGGCCGAGGTGTTGCCGGCCAAGGCCGGACGCGTCGAAACCGGCGGCGTGCATGGCGGCCTGCTGGTGGCTGGCGGGGGGGCTGGGCGACCGCTGGTGGTACATGTCCTCCGGGCGGGGGCCTCCGCCGACGGCGCCGACGCCTCCCTGCGACGTCGTGGACGGGGACAGCGGCGCCGGCGGCTTGGGGGCGCCTTCGCTGGCGGTCGGGGGGCGTGGGGAGCCCGCGTTGGACGCGGAGGATCCGTTGCTGTTGTCGTGGTTCAAGGAGCAGTCCATCACCATCTCTGTGACCATGTTGTCGACGGAGTCACTCAGTCACTCACACGCACGCACTGGCTCGCACTAGACACTTCACACGCACATCCCGGGTGACACTGTCGGTGACACTGCTGGTGACACTGCCGAGACGCTGAGCACTTCGCGGAGGGGAGGGACCCACACACAGGACTAGCTCCGCCCGCCGTGGTGAACAGAGAGCGACTGAGAGAGGCGAGCCAGGCGCGCCAGGCGAGTCCTTCCCTCCCTGCTGGCTGGCCGGTCCGAGCCGAGCCGCGCGCGACCGAGCGCAGCCGGGCCAGCCGCGGTGAACAGCGCGGAGCGGAGGAGAAGTCGGCACGGGAGCGAGAGAGAGCGAGAGAAAAACTTGAAGACGGCACACTACACGGGAGTGGCGCGGAGTGGGGGACAGCATTGCCGGCGCGGCCAGGACGGCCCGGGGTGGGGAGGGGAAATGAAACAGAAAAATAAGTTTGATGCCCAAGATCGCGTTATTGAGGTGTGGTCCGGTGTGCCGGGGGGCGGGGGGAGGGGGCGCGGGCGCAGCGCCGGAGGGGAGGGGCCCGCGAGTGCCCGCGTGGTGGGGGAAGTGGGAGGGGTAAAGGCGGGCGGGGCGGGGCCTAGGCCGGGCCCGAGCCAGCCCGCTCCCCATTGGCGTGGCTTGGCGGGGGGCTGCCGCGGCCTGCGCTAGCCGGCGCTAGCTCGGCTGCGCACTCCGCCCGTCCGCAACACCGTCTTACTGTTAGGCCCGTCCCGTCGGTCGCCGCGCCACGCAGCGCCACGCAGCGCCACGCCATCACCGATGCTCTTTAAAGCTGTTCCGGCGTTTCCTCTTCGAGGGGACTTTGCGCCCCCCAGTCGGTGTGCGAGTGTGTGCGTGTGTGCGCGCGCTCTTACCTTGGCGGATAGGAGCACGGCGCCACGTCGCAGCAAAAGGACCCAAATTGCTGCTGGAACTGCCTGGCCGGCCCGCCCCGCCCCGCCACCAGTCTGACTCCCTGACAACGCTAGCGCGCTGGCGCCTAGCGACTTTAACCTTCCTACAACACGTTACGCTAGGCGCGCTAGGCCGGGGCCGGGCCGGGGCCGGGGCACGCATGCGACCCAAGGAGGAGTTTAAGCACCTCACCGACCGACTTGGCTCAAAAGTTGGTCTCCAACTGGGACGCCTTAATTATTTAGGAATTGCTTTAGTTTCGATTAATTCGTGCGTCGTGTCAACGGCGAAAGGGCCGGTACGCCCTGCAGGGCCTTACTGCTCCACATTCCAGAGCCCAGCCCAGGACCGAAGCGACTCCCACAAACAACGACTCCATTGAAGAGACATTGAAACACTGACGATTTTCGGGCGAGTCCGAACGCCCGTTGAGCTCGGGTAGGCAACCCGCCGCGCTGCAGTGCACTACGTTGCCTACCCGCCGGGCGCGCTGTGCCTAGCTGACCTGCCTGTGCCGCCTGCCTGTGCCGCCTGCCTGTGCCCTGCGACGTGTCCACGGACCCCGAAATCTCTGCCTGCACAGAAGTACCAAGTACCATCGTCAACTAATCTAACGCATGGTTCCCCGGCACTCGAGACGAGGGTGTGCTACTTCGACCGGCTGGTGGCTCAGACGCCTGAGACGTCGTTCGTTGAGATATTCGGAGCGGAGCGACCGGAGGCGCCACCTTGCGGCAGCGGCCTGAAGCTCAGCCACTGCCGCGACTTACAGTGCTGCCGCCAGGGCGCGCCACCGACTGAGGTCCACCCAGCGACCCTCGAAGTGCTGGCGGCGCAGGCGCTGGCAGGCAACCCATCGTACGTAGCGGCCTTGTGTTGCCTGCCCGCCGGGCGGCAGGAGTAGAGCCCTTCATTACCCCCTTCGGAGCCCTTAGGCAAGGACGGCCCGCACGCACCCTGGCCGTCAATGGAACAGAGGGATTGAATAAAGAAGATTGATTCCAGAGTTCAGAAAGGAAAAAAGGTCTATGTATTCATGAAATTATGCATATTGGTTCTCAAAACATTAGATCTTACACCAAAACAATTTTCTCTACACCCTGATGGACGTAAAATCACAGAGGAAAAACGTAAGAAAGAATAAAACAGGTTCATCCATGCTGGAATACTTGGAAAATCAAAACTTTGTAGACACTGAATGTATGGAAGTAAACTTTGCCTGGAAAAACACTACTCTATATCATCCAGAGTGAAAATGCCATGACATCTTGAAAAGCCAAAAGTACATGTAGAAAAGACTGATGTGAGACTACATAAATGCACTAAGAATAGGTGGTTTAGACAAAACCTGAGAGAGTTGCACAGAGACAACACTTTCCCTGCGACTTGACCCTAGGATAAGGGATTTAGAAATCCCTCACAGTGAACATGTTTAGTTGGGTTGACAGAAAAGAAGTACACATGCCTTTGTTTTTGTGTTTGTTTGAAATTGGAACTTAAGTGCATCTCACTCCATCATTGGTAAAAGATCACCCAGTTTCCCGATGTAGAAATCGGGCACAAGCTGCCTGAGCTCTTCATCAGAAGATTCCTTCCAGCTGTTTATTTCATTGACTGTGGAAACCCCACTGAGCACAAGCAGAGTTTTAAAACCACACCGCTTGCCCAGGAGTATATCAGTATTACATCTAAAAATAGAGAAGAGCAGCATAACATTTAACATGCAAGGATGAAAGGTAAATATGCATATCAGGAATACAGTGATATTCTTACCTGTCCCCAATCATAATGGTTCTAGTGGGATCAATTTTGTGAGTCTTTACAAGAAACTCACTTATGTAAGAATGAGGCTTCCCAACAACAAATGCATTCCGAGCGCCACAGGTTTCTACTGCTCGCACTATACTTCCTGTACCTAGAAGAGAGGCAGAAATTTTAAAAAAAAAAGCAAACCTTCTACACAAACACCAGAATTATTAGAAATAATTTTCTGATCCGAGTTATATTAATTCTTACCTGGTATGACCAACTCCGTGTTCATGGGAAACTGCTCATCAGTGTTTGTTGCGACAAACAAACAATCTTTGCGGGCAAGATAGCTGGCAGCTTTCAGCATTTTTGGGTAGCTGAAATGCTCATCAAAGCCTACAACAACTGCCTTCACTTCAGGATCCAGCTTCTGGCTGATGAGCTGCGGCAAAGAGGAAGGCATGTGGTCTGGCTGCAACAAAAGAAGACAAAGTGTCAGAAAAATGATGGAAAGCAAATCTAGAAGACCGGAATAGGATCTGTACATGGTAACTTTTATTCTCAAAATGTAAATACCCCAATGTCTGTGTGTTTAATGCCAGCCATATCCATTTCTTGAGTAATACCAGTTGAACCAATAACATAAACCTTGTCTTTGAACCCCTGTTCTTGAAGATATTTGGCAGCAAGATATGCTGTACTCACAACTTCTTCCTGTCAAAATGACAATTAACACAAATTAGAAGGCATAGTCTTGATAATGTTTACATGAAGCATCTTACATAACTAGCTTTCCATTGTCAGTCACACAACTATCAAACGATCATGCACAAAAAAATTTAAGAAAATGGTAATAAATGGATGATTATGTGTCTTTTTTTTTTTAAGGTAATTTCACAGAACAGAAAACTCACAACCAAGCATACATGCAAGAACCATGGATTTGAAAAGTTAAGCAAACATGGCATTTGGATCTGATCTCTACAAAAACAAAAATATGCAGATGCAAATACATCTAAGTCCCAAACATATTGAAAGAAAGGAAAAAAACTTGGTTAAAGTATTAATGAAAAATGTTAAAGGAAAACCACACAAATAGCAGTCAACACCTACTTTATCAGACTTATATCCCATATCTTGAGACTTTTTGTACAACTCATCCCGAGTTTTGGTGCTGTTGTTGGTCACATAAAATATTTTCTTCCCTATCTCCTTCAGTCTGTTAATAGTTTGTGGTGACCCTGAGATGATTTCTGAATAGATCCATAACACACCTGTAGGCAAGTTATGGCATACATTCTTAGTAGAAATTCATAATATGGAGAACAATAATTGCCAGTGCCAGACCATACAACTCCCAATGGCAATATGGCACCCAAATGGCATCACAACAAAATATTATTTGTAATGTGCAAGTCCAAGCCACCCAAGCACCTTTTTTTCCGTGTTAAGCTCTTCTGCCACCTTTTAAAATAAACATTTACAGAAAAGACACCATGCATAATAAATGACTTTACACAACAAGTATAGTATGGCACAAGAAACATTAAAATGCACCTAGATCCCCCATTGAAATATTTTGCAATTATCAATTACAAGCACCAATGAGCTGTCAAAAAGCAAAATCAAGTCCAAGCCCAAACTTTTAATCTTTCCCAACCAGTATTGTAGTAAATTGAAACATACTTCTGAAGCGTTGAAACCCATTGAGTCGATTTTAGAAAGAAGTTCCTTCTGTGTCTTGGTGCTGTTATTTGTAACATAGAAGATTCTTTTTCCTGACTTCTTGAGAAAATTTATTGCATTTGGGGACCCTTGAATAATAGTAGTTCCTAGCCACAATACACCTGCCCAAAATACAACAGTAATATCATTCATCATTTTAAAAAAGTTTTCGTATGTGTGTCACTGGTTTTAATTGACTGCCATATTCAAAAGAGATAATTAAAATACATTATTACAAAAGGGATGAAGCCTTCACCTTGGAAAAAACAGTAAAATATTCATAGACAGTTCATTTTTTTGCGCGTCTTGTCGTTGCTCTTTTAAGCAAAACATCTTAAAGAGTTGAGCAATGGCAAAAGGCAATACATACCATCACAGTCTGTTAAGACAGTGTCGAAAGAATTCATAAACTCTTTGAAATCTTCTGGTTTCATATTTGATAAATTTAGGGCAGCCATGTCTGGAAAAGAAAATGAGAAGCTTCAATTATAGAAATTCAATAGCTTTAAAAAAATCATAAAATTTTGCATCATCTTTCAGAAATGGTTCACAATGTCTATGGAAAGGTCTCTTAAGAATTCCACAGACACCTGTCAAACATTACAATCCATCCTGCAGCGTAGGATCAAATTTACAGGGTACAAAAAATGTCTAAAATCTATTCAATTTGTGGAAACATGGAGGTGATAGAAAACGTGCATTAATTCTCAACCACACTTTTATGACACCACGTGAAAACAACAAAGTATGAAATTTAGAACAACGCTGTTCATCTTACTAGTTCTCTAGTCAATGCTGAACTTGTTCAAGCATTTCAAATCATACCATTTAACTTTGACATTCCTTAACCCATTGGACCCACCTTCAACACTGAAACGAAATGCAATTTCGAACACTTACTTAATGATGTAAGTTCTGAAAATCAGCAAGGATAAACTTGAAAGCGATTTTTTGCAGCTCACTACAATGTCCCTTTCAAAGCTGGTTTGCCAAAAAATTTGGATTTCGACCTTGATGGGTTAGTTGCTTGTATCGACGTCTCGTCGTCTGTCTAGGTTCTTTCTGCTTCCGATAACGCCAACTGAACAAGACGCAACTACAAGGTTAGATAAATTACTTGAGAACTATTAAAAGCACTTAATCTATTTATTTTTTTTAAATTAAATTTCTCAAAGAGGTGTTTTGCCTGATAAGTCTATCATGATGACAAACAGTGTACTTTGCGACTTATTTTGAGGCTTGCTGTTGGTAGCAGATTACTACTTTGAAACCTCCAAGTTGAAACACAGCCAACTGCGTGCTGTAAAAAGTTAAATTCGAACAAAATTTCATCTTAGTGGGTTTTGATTCTGGAAAAATTCTCTAACTTTCCTCTTTCATAACGTATTTTACATTTTATATTGCTTCTCATTGAACACATAGATCGACGGACAAAAGCTGTGATAACCGGCCACCCTGTAGAGAGCCGATGGTCTTCTGTCTTTGTGTCTGCTAGAAGGGCCCGTGTCCCTGATGTGATAGGTTAGGGAGCAATTTAGGTTCGAAAATCGGTTCAGTCTCAAGGTTTTCACCATGACGTACGTCGATTTTCCCATCAACAGCCATCTAGAAAGGTTGGCTTATGATGAGGTTCGAGAAAATCCATCCCTTTTCTCGGATACTTGGATGTCCATTCTCGGCGGTACCTTTGGGTTCTTTGGAGTGATGAGTTACAACGTTGCTCGTTTTAAACCAGCTTACACAGGTACGTTCAATTTCCTCTCGCTCTCAAACTTCTTTAGTTGTAAGTGTTTCCAAAAATCTCTCCCTGTGTTGTCTTGTCATCTCTTCACTGAAGTCCGATAAGGATTGCATTGTGCTGCTCATGTATAGAAATGTCAGCCAATTGAAGTTTCTTGTCGAAAAAACAAGAAAACTTTTTATCCCTCTTTTATTTTTATTTTCTTTCTTTTCTCTTACTTTATAATCATGTAGGTGTCTGGAGGTATCCAATTGCTATGGCTGCTGGTGTCTATGCTGGTCTCATTATACGTGACTGGAGACGTGAAAAAGTCCGTACCAAGTGGGCCAAGATCAAGCATTACATTGAACTTCACCCAGAAGACTTCCCTCCCTACCCTGGTATGTTGTGTAATACAATGGTCCTCATATTGTGTTTCTGTTCTGTAGTATATTGTGATACTGTGCGATTTCAATACTTTCCTCATTGTATGTTTAACAGCTCGCACCAAGATTGGTGATACTCTGTCTCCATGGGTTCCTATGCGTACTGGATGGTAGATCATTTGAAACTCAAGCAAATTGGTTGTAGCAGGACTTCTAGAAGTTTAAAAGAACTTGAATTGGTGTAAATTTATGCTTAGGAAATTTAAACTTTATAAGTTCTATCATTGAACATGTACACACCGCTGACACCACTGTGAGTACAAATCAGCAATATGTTTGCTTCTGCATTGTGAATATGAATTTTATAAAAGTGTACAGTAAAACTTTGTCTTAAGTAATCATTTGTATCTTTTTTTCTATTTATGCTGTGGAACCCCCTCCTCTCTAGGGAAAACATTACATGCACCGAACAGTATGTGTAACTTCTTGTATTTATTTTTATTTTGTATTTATTTTTATTTTTGGTGTAGAGATCACTGCTGTGAGGTTCATGTCCTTTCTAATGCATAATAGAAACAATTTCTTAAAATTGTTTTAATAATAATAATAAAGTCTTTTTACAAAGAAGAACAATTACAAAATTAAAATTTACTTATTCACTTATGTAACAACATTGTTGAAAAAAAATAACAGTCAATAGCATTTCTGAATTTCACTCGTTGAATGAAGCTTCAGTTTTGATACAATGCAAAAAGGTCTTCTGATGTCATCCACAGCACAAGTAATAGAGATTGTAGAATCATTGTTTGATCATGAGAAGGGGTTTAACTTCAGACAATTTTACTGTATGTGTTTGTGACCTAACAAGTTAAAACTGAATATCAAGTGTTGTGTTGGGTATTTCTCAGATTTTTTTTCTTTTGTCTCCCGAATTGCTGTAGTTATGCTAGTTGTAAAAGGGAATGCCCACCATACGATCATGATACGATCCTGTCGCTAAGTTAACATTGAAAAGAATGGAGGCAGTGGTGAAGGGAAAGGGGTGCCCCATGGGGTGCCCTCTGGCCTTCCCTGTTCAGTTCTCTGGTGTGTACTGGTCCTTGCCATCAATGCCAGTTCCCTCGGAATCGCCCAGCCAGGGATATCTCTTCGGACAGCTCCGGCAAGTTGTCAGGTACCTGCAACCGAAAGGCTCAGTCAAGTTCTCTGGAATGAGACACACGAAGGTGGCCACTGATTCACCACTGCACTGTGCTAGCTAGTGCAAGCTTGCCTTGTAGCGGAGAAGTTGGCTTCTGGCGGTTTGAAGGGCACGGCGCAGCTGTTGGGCAGGCTGCACGCCGGCGGGGGCAGGTTCTCCTTCTTGTCGCACTTCCACGCCTCCAGCGAGTTGAGGTCCTTGGCGGGCCGCGGGTCGGTCATCCACACCAAGGCCTGTGTCACCGTCACGTACCAGACGTCCGGCCTGCGACCAACAAACAAGTGGAGGCTTCAGACTTCACGGAGGCAGGTGGGCTGGGACACCATGCCGAAAGATATCGAAAAATGGAGGCGAGAACTCACAGGCTCTTTGACCAGTCGACGAACTTGTGGAGTCCCTGCTCCAGCTCCTTGATCTGGAACCAGTTGGTGTGGAAGGGCATCATGTAGGGCGCTCGGTTCTGCTTGTAGGCGCGGTTGAAGTCCTCCTTGAGCCACTCGAACACCTCGTCGGCGTTGTGGTTGTGCAGCACGCACTGGTCCAGGTACGGGCAGTGGCCGCCCTCGTAGGTCTCCACGTAGTGCGCGTTGAGCGGCACCTCCCAGATGCCTGGCGGGGCAGCGCGGTCAAATTGGTCAAATGGGGCTGGTCCTGGTCGGCTGTTGCCAACCCAACGGCACGAACAATGCGGGCACGGAAAGTGCACTCACCTGGGAAAGTCTTGGTGGGGCAGGTGCCCGACTTGCACTCATGGGGTATCTTGTAGTCGAGGGTGTAGGGCCAGATGGGCACCCTGGACGGGGGAATGCCGATGGAGCTGTCGTAGATGTAGCCGAAGTCCTCCATCACCTGGCGCGGATAAATTTGCTCGTGAGTTCGGAAAGGGGTTAGCTTGACGGGAAAACCGATGAGTTCGGCCGTGGTTGCGATTGCCCACCTCGTACTGCGTGTTGCGGCCGGGCTTGAGGTAGGGTGCCCGCATCCCCGTGATGTCACTCCTCGAAACGTTGGCGAAGTGGCGCAGGATCTCCCGCTGGCCGATCATCTCGCCGACCCACTCTTCGTAGCCCTTGTCCTGCAGGCCTTGCTGCAGCCTGACAACGGGAAGGAACGAGGTTCAAGTACCAACTACTCGCCCCTTTTTTTAGTGCCAGACGGAGACTTACGAGATGGTCTCGGTGCCGATCTCGTGGCCCTTGGAGGCGAGGTCCTGCACCATGTGGTAGTCGCAGTACTCGTGCGAGATGAAGAAGGTGCCGCGGATGGGGCAGCCGTTGGGGTTCTTGCGCTGGTCGGTCAGCACCTTCTGGTAGTGCTCCACGTTGTTGATGTTGACGGCGCCGTCGAACGTCAGCAGGATCATCTGCGGAGTCTGGAAAGAGGAAGAACGACGTCAAGTAAGTGGGCAAAAGTTGCCACGACGCTTCACAGTGGGCCGACCGGTAGAGGCTCTCTAGTGGAAGCGGCTGAAATTATAGACGTGTTTTGAGCTCCAGAGTCTCTTAATAGGACTCGAACCGAACGTGTGACCGCCACCAATGGATTCCTGGTTTGAAGAGCAATCCATTGGTGGGGTCACACGCTCAGTCCGAATCCCATTTAGTGACTCTGGAGCTCAAAACGCGTCTCGAATTTTGGCCGCCTCCACCGGTCTTCTGGCCCACTGTGCACTCCTGTGTACAGCGACGTACCTCGGCGGGCTCCAGCCCTCCGGGGATGAGGGTGCCATCCCTGGAGCAGAAGCAGTAGGGCAGCTGGCACTTGGAGGGGTCACATTTCTGCGCCAGGTCCACGGGGGTCTCGGTGATGGGTGCGGGGGCTGTCGGGGTTAAACCTCGCTTTAGCAACGGAACGCGACTAGAAAGAAAACCCTGAAGCGAATGCACTCACTAGTAGGCAGTGGGCCGCATCGCGCCTCGTTCTTGAACGTGCAGAGCTTGTTGACGTCGTCGAAGTACAGGCTGGCGGGGCAGCGGTTCAGGTACGGGTAGCCATCCACGCACTGCGGGGAGGGAAGGGGCGGAATGAATGTTTGCAGAGAAAAATTGAATTGCCGTGTCAGCGCCTGGTGGGTAGGCAGCCCTTCGGACGCCGTTGCACGCGTTGTGACTTCTCACCTGGTAAAATCTTCTACACGTGGTGGGGTCCGCGAAGTTTCCGTTGCCGGAACCCTCGGGGCATTGGAAGTCCTCCTTGCCCTTGTCGCTCTTCTGCGAGTACACTGCGAAAAAGAGAAAAGGGTGAGTGGCCCGGTGGGTGGCGTGTGTGGCTGCAGAGCCACTACGAACAGTGCTTTCCTGCTTTGGTCGCTCTGTCTCTCTCGCACTCGCAGGACGCTCCGTCAGGGTGCCAGAGAGACAGAACGACGAGGTACTGTTTGGGATCTGCCAGCTGCGTGACCAGTTCAGTCCAGCATGGAGTCCAGCATGGAGGCCGGCCAGGGCGATAAAATCTAACGCCACTGCACCGTTAGTACGAACGATGACATGCCATTACGATATTCGAAATTACAAATGTCGTGCGTTCTCATGGCTCACACTGCGAAAAGTCGAAAACTCCGTCTCTCTCGCACTCATGGAGCGTCACGTAAATGTGCGAAAGAGATAGAACGACAAACAGTGGTCGGCAGTGGTCGCTGCGCTGCCATGTCCCGATTGTGTCGAACAGGGTAGAATTGCAAGCCTGAGCGCCGCGGCGCGAGCAGACACGAGACCAGCCGAGTGAACCTGTTGAGTTAGTCGAGTCCAGGCGGGCCGCGGTCCAGGACACGTCCAGGACCACCCGGAGCGACCTACAGTGGACCTACAGCGACGCAGAGCGACGCGGCCGGCCGGCGATAGCGAGACTCATCGGGGGACTTTGCGGGCGGTCTTTGGCTTGTCTTTGGATCGAGGGGTGTCTACGGGCACGCGCCACGCCAGGCCTAGCCCGGCCTCGTGGTCACGACGTCACGACTCGGATAAGGTAGTGTCCTGTTTGAACCCGACAAGAATCATCTGTCTCCACTTTTCGCTGCCTGCCTCACTCCCACACCCACGCACGCGGCCCGGTGCACAGTGGATTTGCCAGAAGACCGGTGGAGGCGGCCAAAACTCTAGACGCGTTTTGAGCTCCAGAGTCGCTACATGGGACTCGAACCGAACGTGCTACCCCACCAATGGATTCCTCGTTCGGAGAGCAATCCATTGGTGGGATCGCACGTTCGGTTCGAGTCCTATTATTGGGCGAGTCTGAAGCTCAAAACGCGTCCGGGATTTTGACCGCCTCCTCCGGTCTTCTGGCCCACTGTGCGGCGTTACGTAACGGACGGCTGTAACGGCGCTACTTTGAAGGTCACGCTTTGTAGGAGAAAGTAAATATTCTGGTTGCTGGGGTCGACCGTGCCGGCCTCCCCGCCCTCCCCCGCGATCTGTAGAAGAAGAAGGAGGAGGAGAAGAAGAAGAGGAAGAAGATGCGTGTGTACCCGCCCCGCCGGCACGCCACGGCCTCAGTACTTCCAAATATTGTTTTCCTCTTGACGCGTTCACCTTGGGCGCTACCGGTGTGGTGCACCGAGCATGCACGCCGAGCGGCGCTCGCAGCACGCAGCGCGCAGGCAGCTAGCCAAGCTACAGCGGCTACAACGGCGAACGGCACTCTGCCGCTATCCTTGTCTATCCTTGTCGCTCGCGCTGCCCGCGCGCGGGATGGATGTGCTCAGGATGCTCGGACGCTTCTTGGTAATTCTGACGGGGGAAATACCGCGGGGGCTGCTTGCGATTCACGGCGAGGGCCGCGCCACAGGAAATGTGAGGAGAATAAAAGGGAAGTGGAATAATGAAGGGCTGTGTCTGTCTCTCTCGCACCCCGACGGGACGCCCCTTGAGTGCGAGGGAGACAGAGAAAAGCTGGTGTCTGGCGAGTGACTTTTCCAGCGATGCGGCGCTGGGACGTTGGTTTGTGTGGTTGTGGGACGACCGGGGACGACCCACTGCGGCCGGCCCATTTCCTCGTGTTTCCCAACGCGTGTCTACGAAACACCAGCCGAGGCAAGAAAGCCGCGGGTTCGAATACCACTGCCGGCGTCTGCAGCAACAGTCCTAGATTTTTTTCTGAACGACCGGCAACAAAAATCGGCTGGCGAAATCGACGCCTGCATTCTCGGAAACGTGGAGACGAAAGGAGAAAAAGAGGACTGTCGTTTCAGTTTTATTTTGGAGCAGGTCTGGTTCAGGCGGGCTCCAAAATGTCAGGGTTAGCTGGGCGCGGCGTCAGCGTCGTGCTGAACGGACTTCCAGTGGTGGCCGCGTTGGAAGAAACCGCTGCACTTTCAGGTAAAAGCCCGGGAGCTTGAAACGTAGGGTCGGTTTGCGAAAGGGGAGGCTACGGTTCGTCCTTCAGGGCCTAAATGGCGGCCACGGTGACAGGCTCCACCGTAAAAATCGCTTTGGATGGAGTAAGTTGTCCTTCTACTCGGCTGGAGGCGGGGCTGGAGGCGGGGCTGCAGCGGTCCACCGGCCCCGTGGTGCCCATGGGGTCAAGTCATGCGCGGCGACTTGCACGCGTGGGTCGGGCCCGCGGGCCGGGCCGGACCGGCTGCGTCTCCGAGTCCGCCTGGGCCTGCCGGGACTGCCGGGCCTGCCGGGCCCAAGGCTCCGCGAACAGCAAGCAACGTCCCATTGTCTCGTTTCATTGTGGGTGCCGCGCGAACGCCTTCATGAAGGCAGCCAGGGGCGACTTAAGATTATGGCGAGGCTTTTTAAAGGCAGTGCATGTCTCGGCTTACTCGACGCGGGGGTGGTTTCAAGGCAGAGACTCGAGGGTTCGCCTAGACAACCCGGCAAGCAAGCGGTCGCGGCAACAGTCACAGGCCACACTTTGCTCTTCGAACGAGGAATCGATTGGTGGGGTCACACGTTCGGTTCGAGTCCCATTTAGCGACTCTGGAGCTCAAAACGCGTCTAGAGTTTTGGCCGCCTCCACCGGTCTTCTGGTCCACTGTGCGCCCCGCACCGCAGGCGCGAGAGGGACAGAGCGACGAGATGACGCTCGGGATCGCTGCTCCATGGCTGCTCGGCAGTCGGTGAAAACAGGAAAGGACATCCAGTTGCGTCTTACGTCACGCCGCGACACTTTTGTGCCCGCACCCCCTCCCCCCCCCTCGGGGCGGGGCGGGGCGCTGGTCCAAGTGGCCCAGGGGGTGGACGCCGAGCTGGACGGCAGGCTCACCTGTCGAGACGCTGACGGCCACCACGGCGAGGAGGAAGATTCTCCTCATCTTGACTTCCGGGCGACTTCTGCGCGACTGCTGTGCGGCTGTGCGCGCGCCACGGACTCGGCCGACTCGGCCTGCAACGGCCAACGGGTGACTCGAAACCAACTGCCTTCACTTGGATGTGCGCGCGGCCACCACCCGATTCATACTGAGTGTTCGCGTTCGCACAGCCACCGGCCGCCAACGTCGCCCGCCCCCCGCCGGCCGCCGCTGCCCCCCACCCCCCGCCCGTCCGTCCGTCTGTCTGGAGCATTTAGGGAGCTGCCCCCTCCCCCTGCGCCTCATTGGACGGCCACTTTCTCTCTCTTCTTCTTTCTCCTTCTTCTTCTCCTCGCCTTTCTCTTTTGCCTCCCGTTCTTCGTCGCCGCCGTCGTCGTCGGCCACCCTGTGAGGTGAGCGCGCAGTCGAGGGAAAACGCTGCAGGACTCATGCCGCAAATGAGAGAAACATGACATTTTTTTGCCCCCGAAGACTCGGCAAAAGCAGCGAGTGACGTCATTGTCCTCTCGTCCTCGCCGCAGTGGCGGGGCGGCTAAGGGGCGGCTAAGGGGCGGCCGGCATGGCCAGCCAGCGCGCTGCAGCGCGCACCAGGGCGTCAGGGGCGAGGCAGGCCGGCCCGCCGAACGCGAGAGCGTGGCGGCGCTGCCTACCCGCGGTTCGTAAGGGGCCCGGCACCCAGCCACCTCCAGGCCAGGCGACTCTACAGTGCGTGTCCAATGAGAGTTCTATCGGCTCTCCAGTACTCCAGCGATACTCCAGCGACTCTCCAGGGACACTCCATCGAGCACTCCATGCAGCCTGCGGCCAGGGCGGCGCGGCCAGGGCTGCTACGTAACCGCTATTATGTGAGCCGGGCCCAGCAAGTCAAGCCATGCGGTGGCGGCTGGCGAGGCTGGCGGCCCTGCTGGTGGCGCGGCGGCGTGTTATGAAGCTGTCAGACAAGTCGCGCCGGGACGGACTTTACTTCGAGTGCCTGGCATTCGCATTCGCGCTTGAGCTTTTGGGTGGGTCGTCGTTCTTTGGGTGTCGCGTCGCGGGGAGACGCCCTGGACTGCCACTGCGCATCTCCAGACCTCCGGGCCACCTGCAGGCGCAGGGGGTGCCACAGCTAGCCACAGCCACACCGGCGCGTGGCCTTCCCTTTCCCCCAACGCGGGAAGTCCCCCCTCCCTCCACGTAGACACACCTACACGCTCGTACTCAGGCCTACACGCACACACGCGCATTCTTTGATGGGTGCTGTTAACCTCTTTTCCATTATGTTTCGCAGAGGAGGTCGGCTACGCACTTCATTGAGTTCTTGAACTCATCCGAGAGTGGCCTGAAAGCTGTCGATTTCGCATCGACGGTTTGCCGGTTTGCCGCGCGAGTTGAAATCGCCGCCGAAAGCGCAGCAGCTGGTTCACCATTTCAGCGAGAAATTTCTCTCGAGTGTTCGGGGTAGGGACTAGCGCCTCAAAAGGGACCGGTGGATCTTGATAGGGGAATTTGTAGGGACTCTTTATATTTCTCTGATAATTGCTTTCAATCTGTGTCCCACACAAAAGTCAACTCGGAAATAATTGGCAGTGTCGGTAAATTTATTGGGGGCGTACGCGCCATGTCCAGGAGCAGGCTTACCAACTCAACTTACGGAGCAGCCCTGTCGTCTTATCTTGTCTGTGGTGCTTCAGCAAGATTACAGACCAATCGAAACAATCAAAAACAATGTTCGCCATCAATAACCGCATGGACTCAGAGTCTCACAAGTTAATTTAGTTATCTCAGAAGATGTTTTCAAGCTGGGTTTCGGAATTTCTGACCTTTTCTTTGAAAAAAGTCAATCTATAGGCTGTCTCTTAACCTTCTGTAAGTCACCTCCTTTCTGTTTACAATTAATGTATTGCTGTTTCCCGCTTGATTGGAGTAGTTCTGGGACCACCTGTGTCCTCATTGGGCTCAATTATGTTACGTTGACGTGGAGCTCGGGGTTAGATGAAGCTTTCAATCCTTTTCAGATGCTACATTTGTTGACACTCACTCTACATTAGAACTGGGGCATTATTGTGTTTGTGTTGTTTTTCAGATGATGTAGTCATAAATCCAATGAAATGCGGAAAAAAGACGCAGTTGCCTGTGCTTTTGTGGTGCTGTGCGTATGGGTTTTGATGACATCGTTTCTGCTTCTGTTTCACCCCCTCACCTCTTCAAAAGATCTTAAGGTAAAATTAATTTTGTTTCCAGCATACGTTGAAGATCTGTGTAGTATAGAGCTTATTTATTTAAGGGCTGTACATCTGTATAATTTGTCTTGTCCTGTAGAAAGACGCAGAGCTAGAAGAACGTTTAAGTAAATTAGAGTCATCTCTCATAGAGGAAGCACATGTCCATGATTCTCTGTTAAGTCACATACGGACTCTTATCAACAAAAGTGAGTAATTCTTATTTATTGATCATTCTTGATACTGTGTGCATTATTTCTAATTAAATCTTGTTTGTTCGAAAGAAGATGGAATCAAAGGGAATGAAAATAGTCTACTAGACCAAGTTAAAAGTGTTGTGCTGAAACCTGGTGAAGATGGTGATAATGCAGGAGTAGCAGAGGCAGATTCCCCTGACCCACCTGAACCTGGTGTTGAAACAGACTACCTTGGAGCTGATGGTGATCAAGTAGAACAGGTAGAACCATGTTTGAGGCCTTGAGCTTACATTAATGCTTAGTTACTCAAACCGTTTACCATTGTGTTGACTCTTTTCAGGTTGATGAAGGCCCTGTTAAAGGCCCCACCATTGCAATATTAGTGTTCTCTTGTAATCGGGTTACAGTAAGTCGTTGCATAGATGGCCTGTTACGTTACCGTCCGTCTAAACAACAATTCCCAATTATAGTTTCTCAAGACTGCATGGATACAGCCACTGCAAATGTCATCCGCTCATATGGCGATAAAATATCATTTATTCAGGTAATTTTTCCAACTAGATTGAGAAGTGTAAGCAAGTAAACTTTGAACCATTTTAACTGTGTGTGTCTCTCACTAGCAACCTGACCAGAGTGATATTCCAATTCCTCCAAAAGAGAAAAAGTTTAAAGGATACTTCCGCATTGCCAGACACTATGGATGGGCTCTAAACCATACATTCTTTACCTTTAATTACAATTCTGTAATTATTGTTGAAGGTATAGACTTTATATTGTTTTCATATTTTTAAAACCAGTTGAAAGAATCTGTTTGAATGCTGATCCAAGGACTGTTCTTCCACTCATTATATTTTTTGTCCCTCACCTATGCCACAGATGATCTAGAAGTAGCACCAGACTTCTATGAGTACTTCTTGGGTACTCATGAATTGCTTAAAAAAGATCCATCATTGTGGTGTGTGTCTGCATGGAATGATAATGGCAAAGAAGCATTAGTGGACACAACACACCCAGAACAACTTTATAGAACTGATTTTTTCCCAGGCCTTGGGTGGATGCTCACTCGAGAGTTGTGGGCAGAGCTAGCTGTTAAATGGCCTAAATCGTAAGTATTATCTAATATTTTTAATCGTCATTATTATTTCTATGTGACTACTACATGCTGAAAATATTTCAGGTATTGGGATGATTGGATCCGGGACCCGGGTCAAAGGAAAGGAAGAGCATGTATCAGACCAGAAGTATCTCGGACCAGAACTTTTGGCAAAGTGGGAGTTAGCAAGTAAGGGGAAGCATTCCAGTACTCTTGACATTTAGGAGTTTGTTGCATCTCTCTTATTATTATTTTTTTCTTTCTTTTCAGTGGCCTATTTTATGAAAAACACCTTAAATACATCAAATTAAATGATATGCCTATTCGGTTTACTAGCATGGATTTAGGCTATTTACACAAGGTAAAATGAATAGTCAATATCACTGTTTGTTTTCCAATCTGTTTTTCTTCTCCTTTGTTGTTGTTCAGTGTATATACTTGTGCAAACTAAAGGCTTCTGACCATTTTATAGGATGTATATGATGTTGAGTTCGTGAAAAAGGTCTATGATAGTCCCATCATATCATATGAAGAACTGAAGACTGGGAAAATTCCCTTTTATGGTGATGTCAGGATCCCATATCATACCAAAGACAATTATAAAAGAACGGCTAAAATGCTTGGTCTAATGGATGATTTTAGGGTAATTATATATTTCCTGTTTGGCTTTTACCAATTTTTGATCTTGTGCCTTTCTTATAAGTACTAATTCTGACTGTTCATATTTCAGAGTGGTGTGCCAAGAACAGCTTATCGTGGTATAGTAACATTTATGTATAATAAGCGTAGAGTATATTTGGCTCCAAGTGCCAATTGGAAAGGATATAACATAAAATGGAGTTAGTGCTTGACTGAAGACCCATTGTGCCACACATACATATAATTGAGGTTCTAATTTTGCCGCTGTGCACAATGTGGAGTGAGGAGGTTCTAGCGCTTCCTGCCTCAGTACCTTTGTGGCCTATCACTTTCTACAAACCCATATTGTAGCATAAACTTCTTCGATTACAAAGTTTAGAGCATCATATATCTATGTTGAAATCGTCTTTTTCAATCCCCCTGATAGTTTGACCAATATTGATCATTCTGCTCAATGTTGCATTATTTAGTGTATTATTTTAGCACCACAAGTAAGTGGATAATGAAAAGACTTCCTCTCATGCAAAGTTTTGCAAGACTTTTACATTCTTATGAATTTCTATCATCTCATTTGTTGGATATAGAGGAGAGGGCTCATGTGGCCATGGCATTCCCCTTTGCAGCAACTCCTCAAAATCTGTGGTATTCCTTCATTTTCATCTAAAGTAAAAGTAACAAACAGTAACTAATTCTGCAATAGTGGTTGCATTTTGTAGTTAACTAAGTTTGATTTAATGGTTGTTAATTTTTTAAATTGTTTACCAATATTTGTCTGAATGCAGATTCATATGCTGAAAAAAAAATTGTTTATCCCCTGCACCTTTTAACCCAGTAACCAGCCTCTTGTGATAAAGTTCTTATTGGAAACAGGTCCCCAGCTTCACTGTACTTCTCCCTTAAATCTCCAAAGTAAATGCCTTTTTTGTTCTTTCAAATATTTTGTGAACTAATGTTGTGTAATGAGTGATTTTGTTGCCTATGTAGTAAAGCTAACAAGGCCTTACTTGTAATTGAACTTTAATTCAGTGTTAATGTAGATATGTAAGTAGTACTTACCATATTGAGTGAATGAGGAGGGAAAAAGTCACACATTGCATGAAAATTGAGTGTTGAGTCTCTAAATTCTGAAAAAAATTCTTGTTTTAGTTCTTAAAAGACTTCAAAGGGTTTTTTTTTCTGTGGCACGAGTGTTTTCTCCTTCCTCTCTTCATGACTTTGTTTCAGCCTTCTGCGAGTTATTGCTACTCTTAGCAGCATATTGAATGAGTATATATGCTCCATTAATTTGTTAGCTGGATTAATGCATGCTGGATGTGCAACACATTAAGGACTTGTAGTTGTTAATTAGATATTTTGGGGCTCTAGTGCACAATAGTTCAATGGCATCTTGAATGTTGGGCCACCAATGTAATTTGTCTGTGATGTATTCTGTATCTCAAAGTGTTAGTTGAACTACATTCTACAAAACAATGCTGGTGGGCAAGGAGTAGGTTGAAGGATCAGATTTTGATTGATGCCTCGTTAGTAATGTCTTTGTAGAAGATTGTAGAACAATGTGATAAGGAAAAAAATACCACCAGTTTTTTTGTGTACATAACTGAATTACATAAGATTGTGAGAGAAAATAAAATTGCTTTTAGTTTTTTAACCTTAGGCTCTAAATAAAAAAGTGAGATAGCAGTTTTACTTAAGAACAGGAATATATTTAGAAAAGTTACATACTTAAATTGAAATGATCGCAATTTTCATACACCCAACTCAAAATAGGTTCACCCCTCATCTTTATTTTTTCTGAAATGGAAAAAAGCATTCAGTGAGTTAAACTTAAGCCAAGAGGAGTTAGCAGCATTTTTAAGTCTAAAATACTACTGTATCTACTTACATAGAGGGCAAAACCCCACTTTTGGTTATCAAGGTAAAGAGGATCTGATATTGTCACACCATCAGGAGTAATAAAGCCAAGTTGATACTGTAAAATAAAGTTAAGAATGACAACAAAGGACCTAATGACACAATGCAAAGAAAAGGGGGAGAAAAAAAAGTTGAGCCAACCTTAGGGAAACTGCGGGCATCACGGTAGAACAGCACCTCCATAGTGTGCACAAGTAACTGTTGAGCTTCAGCCTTGGACATGAGAGGTTTCCTTTCAATGGCTTCTCTGATCAGAGGCACCCCCAACTGCATACCCAACCCAGTTCCAATGATGTTGTCTTCATAGGCAGTACCAAGCTTGTCAATAGAACCTAGGTACCTAACAGACCACAGCCACACTCATGAGTATCAGATTAAACAACGAATAATAACGAGTAATAAACAATAACAAAAAGAAAAAGCAATACTTACGGCTCTCCATCTTGCATACCAGCCACAATGAAGTTGTTCCAGAAAGGATCCATCTTTGATCTTCTGTTATAGAGTATATTGGTCAGCCATGTGTAAATTGCCCTTGGCTTCATGCTGAACCCATCATCGAGGCACTCATCATCGATACTGGAAATACAGAAATAAATAAATCCAACTTGACAATCACTGAGTTTTCAAAACTAACGCAAATAAAAATTGATATAACGCATACGTTTTCTGTTCAATCATACTCTGGACATACTGGAAGTCAGCATAGTCACCACCAGCACCAACGATAATTTGGTTATTAACTTTGCAAAGACGACGGCAGTCTCGGAAACGGGCAAGAGAGCCATACGATCCCAACATATCAGCTGCAATGGCAACTCCCTTCTCCACACCGTTGTCGTACTTGAAGGCGATTACAGATGTGCCTGTAGTGATGGGTTGCCTGAAAGAAAACAAAACACATCAGAATGAATACATGAGCAGTCATTCAGCAGACACAATCAAACCTAACCTAGTCCTCCGTGGATTTAAATTTACAGTGGCGGGGATAAAACATTAATCATCACTTCAGACAATCGAGGATAATTGAACGAAAAGAAGTGGGGAAAATTGATTGTTTCAGGCAGGAGTCCGGCTCGAAGCCAGTGACAGTGACATGTACATTCACAGTGTGATGATGATTCGCCTTACTTGGATCTCTCCTGAAAACGGCCGGAGTCCTCCACTTGACGTCCGGGGAAATTGTAAATACCGCCCGGGGTGGGGCCATTGTGCCACAGAGGCCCCGCGGCGAACCGGTCAAAGTTGTGGTGAGCCATTTCAATCAAAAATCTTGATTCTGTCACTGGAACAACAAGATGAGTCGGTGATGTTCACAGCGAGGGTGCGTTCCTTGTAGCGGCACCGGTCACCGGTGCAGTTGTTGACCAGTCAAGACCAGAAAGCGGAAGGGGAAAGGGTGAAGGGAGAGGGTAGGGGTGGGAAGGGAGGGGGATTTTGGAGTTCCCGTCGTGTGCTGGCTGTGTGTGTGTGTTATTTGTGTTCATTTCATCACCATGAAAAAATGGCGAGCAGTGATGTCGGGAAGGTTGCTAGTGCGTCTTTGGGTGCCAAAATCAATGAGATAGGCCTTAGGCGCTCTGAAGAGAATGCAAGAATGTCAGCATCGTTACAGTTTGGGTTTTACTACTTAACTTGTCATTTGCTGTCAATATCAACATACTTGATCGACCATGGATTTAGCTGTTGGTTGGCGTATCAATACCATACCCAAGGCCAGGAGACGTATTTCGCGCTCACGATCACTTTTGTGGTCATGCCCGCACTCATATCGACGGGCTTTAGCATGAGATGGTAAGTACCAGATTCGTTTAAGGTTAGACGTCGTGAGTGACACTTGTTAGATTGTTGTCCCCAACCTGGATCAGGATGTCAAGGTTATCAACCATGCCTCCTTTCCCCGCGTTCCAGATTGCTGTAGAAATATCTGTAGATTCGTTCTTTACTATTCCCTAAAAGCAATCGATTGTGGAGGGAAAAAAAGAAAGCTTTCCACTTCTGTTCCAGCTAAAGTCATGTTTGCGACCTTGTTCTGGATTGCTGGCTGGTTGTACTGGCATTCCTGTCATGGCCAACAAGCCAATAGCCATGAAGGACACAGTCAATTAAATCAGCTCAGCTTACCTCTAATAAAATTGGATGTTGTTTATATTTAGCTTATTGATTAAATCATGATGTTTCAGGTACCTTCAAGATATAGATGACCCAACGTTGCCCAAGGCACCTCTATGGCGGTGGGGATTGAGAGTGGTTTTCCTCTTGCTGCAATTTGCTCCCATTCTCAGGTATTATTTCTAACAGGCAAAATCATTCATAACCTGTTTCTTATTTAATTTGTTGGTGCATGGAATTTTTTTCTGTTAAAGGTACTTGGATTCCCTGCTCTATGGCATTGGGAGCATTCTTGCTGCGCGTAAAAACCAGAAGGAGAAGCAGCAGTACTTGTTTCGGCGAATGGTTGACGAAGACTCAGATGCCTCACTTCTGCGCCTTTTCCATTGTTTCTTGCATGCAGCTCCCCAAGCCATTTTACATTTGATGGTTCTTATCCAAATGGCACGGCAAAAGCAACATGCTACCTTGCAAGGTTTGTATCATTTCCATTTCATTTTAAATGAGGCCGGTGATACTAATTGAATGTGGGTCTCAACTTATGCCTCATATTTTTATTTTCTCCATCTAGCATACCAAGGCTGGGCGGTGATGTGTGCTCTCATATCCATAGCTTGGGCTCTTACATGCTACCACCGCTCTGTCAGATTTGCCAGAGATGATAAGGAAAAACTGTCATGGCAAGGCAGCACCATTCAATTTTGTTGGCATCTTATGGGAACAGGTATACCAAAATTTCCCTTCCATACATGTGTTTTGATATTTTGTTGGTTGCCTTTACATGATTTCTGACCCTTCTCTCTACTATTCTTTGAAAAAAATTTAGCCTCAAGGATACTGGCTCTCGCCATGCTGGCTGCCATGTACCCAGCATGGATGGGTACGGTTTGCCTCACCCATTGGTGTGTGATGGCAGCTTGGTTGGCTCTCGGCCATCATCAAACCGCCGTGTGCAGCTCCAGATGTGAAGAGCTCATGTTTTCTTGTGTTCTGGGACTGGCGTACATACTTGCCTTCATTGCCCCGCGAGATGGTCCCACAAGATACACTTACCTAGCGTATTACTTAGTTTGCTTCATGGAGAACACTGGAGCCCTTGTTGTTTGGTAAGCATCCTTTCTGAAGTTGCTTTCTTTCCTCTTCTGAACTCTTGTCAAAGTGTCTTGTTTAATTTGTCCTTTTTTTCTCTGTATTGATGACTCTCTTTTTTTCAGGTGTGTGGGGAACAGCTCTGCTCAAAACCCCTCCCTATATTATGGCACAGTTGGTATGCAAATATTGACCTTCCTTCTCGGTATTCTGTTCATGTTAGCATATTATCGATACTTTCACCCTAGTGGTACCTCTACTACTATTAGGAAGAGCATAACAATTACAGAGATGCCTGATAGACTCTCCAAAGCAGGAGTGAGCGGGCGCGTGTTTAGCCACACTTTGTGAAACCGTATAGATGTTCTATCTAGTATTCCATATTCAGTATTGTACAATTCGCTAAATGTGCCACAACCATCTATCTTCGTGTTCAAATGGCAACTTTGTTATTATTTAGAATTCATTTAGTTACTTAAGAACTCGATGCTTTGTGATCAAGCCTCAAGAAAATTTTAAGTCTTGAATAATTATTCAATTGCCGCTCTAGTAGCTCAAGTGCAGTATAATAGAGCTGATGAATGATGGGGCTTTTTCCTATTTGGAGTAAATGTATATGGCACATTGCATAGGTAAATTTTAAATGTTGGAAATGGCTTCACACATACCTGTGGAAATGTGCCATAAACATTTACTTTGATTTGCATTCCAGGGTTAGGTTCAGGGTAATTAAGTTACCCTAGTACCAACAAGAGCTGTGATAATTTTAGCACATTCTGTACCTGTCGATTACCATTTCTGCTGCTAAAATCTAAGTTACCAGATTTTTCTAAATTCTATTTTGTCAAAAATAAATGCAAGCTTTACTCTAAAAGTGCTTGCTGTGCTAGAATAACTGTTAAACATTAGTTAGCTTTAAAAATTAAGAAAGTAATGAGATGCTGTCACCTATTTTTGGTGTTTACATATTTTTAAAGACCAAAATCAATCTTGTTCTGAGTGTTTTGCACTTTTGTGTGAAGACTTTAAGACTTACTGAATTTTCTTTGCACTAAGGTTTCTGAGACCAATTTTCACTGATAAGTTGAGGAATGTTGATGTGTTTTGGAACTGTAAGTTGCCCTGAAGGAAGTATCCTACCCCACACAGTTTGATTTTTTTTAAATTTGTAGTGAAAACTTTCTTTTATATTATGTCAACATGACAAAGTAATTCCTTTAGTTTACCTTTCATCAAATATTGTCATGCTGTGATGATGGAAGAGGGTATCAAGTTTTGAGCCTTGTGCATGGTACCACTACACTATTACATATGAAGTATTAAGTACTGTTCCTTTTTTTTCCACTGGATTTGTATCTCACTTAATGACTTTTTGTGCTGTCCTAGAAGTGGTCTCCCCATGTCTTTTTCTGATGATGACTTCTTACAACCAATACTCTCTTTACACTTCTAAATTTAATCTCTCAAATAGTTTTGGTTGGAAGCTCACTGGAAGCCATGGAGTTGAGATGTTCAGAACATTGCTGGTAAGAGGAAATAGATCTGTGGGCTGTTCCATTGAACATTGTCCTTTCATTCTCAGGTGCTCTGTGAAGGGGCTCTGGTGCGTTCCATCTGAAGGGAAGATTGCTGCCTATTGTCAGCTGTATTTCCTTTTGATGGCTTCCCTCCCCTCTCCCTTTCTGTGTTTAACTACTTGTTTAAAAAAAAAAAACATTTCTCATGTTTGTTTTCTCAAATAAGTGTTTTTTTTTTTTTTTTTCTCTTTGGGTTGTGGTTGTTTTACCTTTTAACTTGGTACTCTCAATATTTTAATTTTTACTCATGAATACTTCTGCCTGTCATGGTATTTTGACAGCCTAGTTAGAACGTAGGGTTTTGTAATTATAATTTTTTTTTCTTGAGTGCAGTTTAGTTTTCTTCAGTTTTACTTGCAGGATGAAGGATGCTGCTATAAGGTAAGTTGACTCAATATGTAATAATGTTCTATTTGTGTATCTCCCCCCCCCCCCCAAGAAAAACCTTGGTATTGCCTTTAATTTGTTTGAGGAATTGCAAGTTCAGTTACACACATATTTGTTTCCTGTTGCCTTCGATCAGTATTGTGATCCCTTGTTATATTTTGATTGTACTTCAAAATATGGAAAATGTTTTGTACTTTTCTATGAAATTAGTTGTTTGTAATGCTTGCTTTCTTGTTGGGCTGTTTGCTTCATAGTGAATAATAAAATTGTATTTTATAAAAATTAGTATGTTTCTTTAAACAGGAATGGATAGTAAAAACTGAAATGGAAAATTGCAGTCAATCACAAACTTTCTTTAGTGTCTTGATTCCACTTTAATCTCACCATTGCACCTCATTCATTGGATGCACTGTCAGTCAAATATTGCACAAAAATACTGCCTAACACAGGCCATAAAGTTATTAACAAATGCTGAGCCACTCTCAGACAAAAAATACAGACAAATCAGATTTGAAAAATGATTCCAGTCTACAACGTAAAACACTTAAATGAAAGCCTTTCCTAAATTTGTTGTTGAACTCTCATCAGGTATCACTCTCATACATGCACACAGTTAAAGCTAAAATTAATATGTATTTGGTCTTGGAGCAAAAGTATAAAACGTGGTACTAATTACAAACTACCACAGTTTATAGCACAGACCTGCTGTGGATTAAAGACCTGGCTCAATTTCTAATCAGGTGCGAGGATGAACTCTGATGACTAATATGTACATATATAAACACACACACACACACACTCATAAATCCATCAGGGTACTTATTGCAAAGTGGTGTCAACATCACATTCAGTCGTACACATTAACCTAACCTTCACTCAAGAAATGTGAAGATATAGTGTCAATTATGTAAAATAAGAGAAGCCAAGGCCTACTCAACATCTCCAGCTCCTCCACTTCCTTGTCTAACATAACCATCCCCAACCTGCTTCAAAGAAAAAAAATCGATTAGAGAGGGTACTAAGACACTGACAGAAATAGACTGTAATTTCAACTGGAAAACTACCTGCACTAGCTGTGGCTGGACTTGAATGATTGCAGGTTGAGAGTTCCCTTGGAGCTGCATTCTTATCATTTGCAGCTGATTGGGAGTCAGTTGAATCTGCAAACAGATACACATCATGCAAAAAAGGTAAATGCTAGTTCTTACCAATCTTACCCTTCATCATTCATTAAATATAGTTAAAAACCTTAATCCTGAAAGGGAAATTACTTACAGGTATAGACTGGATTTCTCCACTTGGTGTGACAACTTGTTGTACAATTTGAATGCCACCTGTGGCAGCTTGCACTGCCTGTGCTTGGACTTGAGCTTGCTGGGGTTGCTGAACTTGAATAACTTGAGGTTGAACAGTTTGAGCAACTGTTGCTTGTCTCTGTTCAAAGCAATGAATATAGAAATTAAAATTTAAAATTTTCAATAAATTTTAATTGATATAAATTTTTAATAATCTACTCCCGTTTCCTCCCTCCCCTCCCCCCAACAAAAAAAAAACACAGTAACAAGAAATAACCTGATCAGTTGGTGAAGCTATTTGAACTGTTTGAATTTGACCAGTGCTAGGCTGAAGGATTTGAATAGTTGAAGGAGTGGAGGCATTGCCATTGGATGAGGTGGAATTAGGAGAATTGGTCCCTGTCTGTGACAAGGCCTGTTGGTGCTGCTGGGCTAAGTGGAAGTAATATTGTATCTAGAAACGAGAGAAGGTGATAAATGAGGATATGAATGTCATAATGTGATGCTGCTTTGTCTTTAACGCTAAATAGAAATAGATGAGCATCTTACCTGATCAGGATTCATAGCTGTAGCTGCACGTGACGGATCACTTGAAGCTTTTGCTGGCTTTAGCTCTTCGCGTGGTACTATATCAATTAGAAAATCAAATTGATCACATTTTGAGATAGCCATTGCAATGTCATTACGCTGTAGTGTACGGCGTTTGTTGTCTTCTGTGTGGACCTGCACATTATTTAAAATTTAATTAACGTCTGACCCAGACTAAAATAAGATGTAAAAGGTCAACTTTCAGTGGAATACAATAAAAATTTACCCAAGCTCGAAGAGTAAGTTCATGAATAAAAATCTCAGCAGCCTTAGCAAAAAGCATGGGGGCCTCTGCGCTGATCATCTTCACATCTTCATCAAGTTTCATAATCTTTTTAATCCTTGCAAGTGGTAATGCTTGATTTTTAAGATCCAGCTGAGTTCAGAAGACATTCCGCGGTTAACACCAGCAATACAAGATAATACTTCAGGAGATCCTAAATTGACTCTTTCTATAATAAAATTATTTAGAACTTACTGGTATTTTCCGTACATCATCTGTCACACGGGGCCAAAATGCTGCAAGATTTAACTGTGCTTCAGACTGGACTGTTGGAGGTGAGGCAATTCTGGCAGTGATAGTGTCGCCATCAACCTCTGTTCCGTCCCCTCTGAAAAAAACATCAACAAAAAAGTTACACACTTGAAACTCAAAGGTTGGGTTCATAAAAATATATAGAAATGTAAAAAAAAAATGAAATTAGCCAACTGGAAAAGAAATGAATGGTGAAAATCAATTCTAAGTCAGAATACAGGCCTCTCAGAATGATACAATACACTACACAGGCAATGGCAAAATCCCATGAAATAATAAAAAATCCACAGATGTTCAATGAATATAACTGCGGCGGCGCAGCCGCCGATTTTTCAAATCTGCCTAGTTTGTTTAAAAAAAAAAGTCTGTCAAAGTACAAAAGAAAACGTGCCTGGGACAAACGTCAACAAGCATACCGGCTCGCTAGAATCCAAGCCAGAACTAAATAACCTTCTGTTCAGCCATTTTGATGCGCCAAACCATAAAATCTCACTCACTCTGTGCTAACTTGGTAGTACACTTGAGACATCTTTCCGCTGTTCTTGGGCTAATGAATGTAGTCTTTCCAGGAGTACAATTTGGAAAGGAGACCGCGGCTACGACTTGGATTTGGAACCAATCATTGCGATTATGAGATTTTCTCCAATCAGTTCTCACAAAATGGGCTGCTCAACGTCCTGACTGGTCAATGGGCCTGATCAGTCCCGCCAACCGCAGAACACATCCGTTTGCAGCAGTGCTCACGACGGGAATTTTAATTCATCTATTTCTTATATCACCGCTAAGTTAATCAGCTCTTATTTTTAGGAACTTAACTTACCAAAATATGTTTTTCATTTTCATTCCTTCTCTTTCCCTCTTTTGTTTAATATAATGAAGAAGCCAAGTTACCGGAAATCAAAGTTAAGTTGTCTACTGCGACACAGCCCTGTCCAACTTTCGTGCTTTTGGTCACTTTTTGTTTTTGTTATGTTGTTGTTTACTGTTGTTGGGTCCAGCTCTTGTCAGGTTAGGAAAATGATATTGTCGATCAAATATCACTCAAACAGTGATTTATGGTTGGATTTTAACGAAAATTTACCATTTCTTTTCAGAACTCTCAAAAGTGTTCCCATGGAATGATTCTTTTCGTCATTCAATGTGGTACTGAGTGATACAAGGTCTGTGACAGTTGTCTGCTATCTGTCAAAGGATCCAAGGAAAAAATGAATCCGAACCAGCAACCTTCGTTGAATCAGTATTTTAGTCAAGATGCTACACCATCAGTGCCAGGTGCAAGCTTCTTTGATCAAATCTCCTCACCAACTGCTGGCATGCCAGTTGACTCAGCGATGATGAAGAGCGTTCGAGAAAGTGATTCTTCACATGATTTGTTTTCATCCAACATGCCAAAACAAGTGCCTTTGAGCCATCAAAATGTAGATATATCTGCTGCATCTTTTGCTGTTGGCAACTTGACTCTGACTGATGCAACAACATCAAAAGATGAGCCTGTCGTGTGTAGAATATTTTCTGAATCCGAATCAACAGCATCTAACATAGCCTCAGGGAAAAACTTCTTCGATTTGATAAGTTCTGTTCCGAATGCATCTGGGCCAACCCCTGGAATCGCTATGGATCTTAGTTTGCCACCCAGCAGTTCCAGCAGCCTACTAACTTCTCCAGATTTCACATCAACAGCCACAGAGGATGGTTTTATTTCTACAACATCGTCTGTTGCGGCAACACCTACAGCTGCACATGACGTTTTGGCATCAGAAGATCCGTTCTCCAAAAGTGCTGGGTTTCGTCCTAATGAGGCTGACCGTCGCCGGGATGCATGGATTCCATCGGAGAAAACTCGTCAAGCCCTCATTGCTATGGCAACATCCGCTCCAGGAACCTACATTCCCGATAAAGATGTTCTCACTATGCCAGGAGTTTGTGTTCAGGAAGATATGGCAGACCCTGTATCTGAAATGGTGCAGCACCTATTGGGTAATGAAGAAGCAAGCAAAAGGAAGGTTCTCACCATGCAGGATGTCACTCAAGATGAAAGAGGCTTGAGAGAACTTATTCAGGTAACCAAATATTTTCTTCGCTGCCTTATTTATTTAGTTTTCAGTATTTACCAGTGTCTAATCTTCTTTTGCAGGCTGGGTGTTTCAGATCTGCTGTTAACTTGACAGGCCGCCTTTTAACCATTTATGGACAAGGTATAGGGAGGTCAGGTAAACCAAGCAAACACACAACCCATTCCATTCAGGTACTTATAGAGTAAAACCAAATTTGATATAGCACCACCCTCTATTTTAGTTCTAAAGTTGTCTTTATGTTTTACAGCTCTGGTTTACACGTATCTCCCTCTTGGTTAAGCTGAAGCTCTTCTCCTTGGCTGAGACAGAGGCTGAGAGATTTTGGGACTTTGACCGACCAGATCTCTACTTTCCATTTTACCCTGACTTGTATGGTGGTAGAATGGGCACCCTAGTACCTTTTAATTTCCGTCTATTGCTAGCAGAACTTCCAGCTCATAACGGAAAACATAGAGAAGCCCTAACTCGTCTTCATTCTGTATTAGCAATTGTGAGGAAGGTGAGTTCTATTTTCTTTCAAATATTTTCTCTGTGCCCATAGCTATCCCATAGCTTCTGACCAGTTACTTGCCTTTCTTCCTCTCCCTTCTAGATTTTGAAGAATTTGGAAAACGGACTCAGTGAAGATGGAAGCCCCGCAGAACTTGGTGCAGCTGATGCAATGGAGTCAAAACGCTTGTGGTGTAACCGAGAAATAAGGACTCTTCATTCCATCGTGAATTGTGCCATATCTAACAAGGTTCGTAATCTATTTTAGATAGCAGTGATGTTTTTTAGTTTAATCTGAATCAATACTTTTGTTTCTTCTTTTTCAGAACTATAGTTTAGCCTTGGAAGTTCTGGAGCAGATTATCCGCAAGTCAATTGATCTGCCTGTACACCATAGGCGTCCTTTACTCTCAGCACTTGGACGACTTCACTTACAACTGGGAGATGTGGTTGGAGCTGAAGAGTATTTTAAACTAGCATCAAATCTGCGTGTCCAATGTGCTGCGTATGTAGTTTCATTTTAATTCTTATCCCTTTGTCGTAATTTACAGAATGCACCTCTTCTTGATAATAATTTAAAGTTTTTATTTTGATAGTGGCTTGGATGGGAAAAATGCCCTCACAAGTACTGCACCAGACCTGAGGGAGTTCATTGACCGCGGTCTACTGGCTGTTTCTCAAAATGCATTCCATGAGGCTCTGGAAAGCTTCCAAAAAGCAGCAGATATTGATCCTGCAAACATCATGGTAAGTTTTTTATGTTTTGTTTTTAAATATCCTTGGATATTCTGTTTGTTTTTACTAATGACTCATACAAAATAATTGCTGTAGGTCTTAAATAATATGGCTGTATGTCACCTGTACCTTGGTCGTCTTCGAGAGGCACTGTCAATAATGGAAAATGCTCTCACTAGCAATCCTACGCAAGGTCTTCATGAAGCTCTGCTTCTCAATATGAGTACACTTATTGAGTTCGAATCATCTCATTGTAATCAGAAAAAATTAGGTTTATTGAAGATGCTAGCAAGATACAAGGGTGATGGTGTCTCTGTTGGTTGTTTGAAACTTCAGTGAAAGTTGTAATTTTAAACTTTTACATGTGATCATTAGTTTGTTTCTTCTTCTTTTTTTCTAAAGAAAGGAAAGAAATTATGGTGAAAATGATATTTTTGTTGCTAATTTTCTAAATTTTACTGAAACACTTGTAGAATTGGACATGGAGGCACTATGTTACAATTTTTATTTTTGTGAGTGAGGATTCTCAAGTTATTACTTTGACTTGTTGTTGTTGTTGTAAGTGAGCAAATTCCATACATTCTCAGTTCAAGAGTTTACAAGTTAAATAATCTCTCTGTTTTAATCACTTCTGTTGCCATGTTCATTCTTTTAAAAAAAATAGTTATTTAATGTAATTTTTATCAAGTTGTTAATGCCAAGTTCCAATTTGAGGGTACTCAGAAATTATTATTGTTATTGTGACTTGTGTAAAGAGTTAAATATACTCATGTTTCTGAAAAAGAAAAAAATAACGAAAGTGGGCACCGTGCAATATTTCCTTTATTCCCGTGCATTTGGACACCGAACCAATGTTGTTTCGCGGGGACCGGCCGGGGGAAACCTGACGGTGGAATACCAATGCGCGACTGTTCACTCTGTTTACCGTCCGCGTATCGAGTATCGACCTGGCCCTCCTCGTCCTCGCCCTGGGCAAGGCGGCGCACAGTGGGCCAGAAGATCGGCGCCGGTGGCCAAAACTCCAGGCGCGTTTTGAGCTCTAGAGTCGCTAAACAGGGCTCGAACTGATGGACTCCTCCAATGGACCAATGGACTCCTCGTTCGGAGAGCAATCCATTGACGGGGTCACACGTTCGGAAAAAGGGAGGCAGAAGATGTTAGAAAGTGGCTCACTGATCCTGAGGTCTGTCTCTCTCGCAATCATAGGTGTAAAGGTCCGCAGAGTGACAGCGAGACAAACAGAGCTCGGAATGAGTCTGCTAGCACGGCGCTGTGCAAGGGGCGTGGGGGCTCGCCAAGCCCGGCCCAGCCAAGGACCGGCGCCCCGCGGCCGGCGTGGCGGCGGACCACGGACTGAGTCCGAACGGCGCTTTCGTCGCGCTGTCCCTCTCGCTCCCAACGGAGCGCCCCATGAGTGCGAGAGGGACAGAGCGCGCCAGGCCGGAGGCAGGGGAATGCCGTCTGCAGGGAAGGCGGCGCGGCGGCTGGGGTCCTGGGGGTGCGAGCGGAGTGGAGGTGGCCGGCCAGACGCTATTTTTGCACGCGCCAAAAAAGACGCGCATTCCTTTGCAGTCTATTCGCGGCCACAGGGCACCGCAGGGCCGCGCCCCCTCCCCCTCCACCCTTGGCGCCCCTCGCCTCGCCAGGGAAGTCCCGAATGCCGAGCAGCCGCGCGCCAAAACGGCCAAAACACGCACACTGGTGTGGCCCCGGCCGCCGCGGCGAACAGCGCACCAAACGTTCCTCCTCGCTAAGGACGGAACAGGCCCTCGCCGTCGCTGTAGTGTCTTCTCGCACTCCTGCACTGCAAAGTTTGCTTCCTTGAGAGAGTACCTTGAATCTTGAGGGCTGAGCGCCCACAAGTGCAGCCTCGCTGGAGCGCCTGTGGAGACGCGTGTAGGCAACCCGCACGACGGCTGTGCGCCGCGCGCAGGCTTTGCCTACCTCGCAGGCGCTCAGTGCATCCTCGCTGGAAGCCCTGGCTGGAAGCCCTGGCTGGGGCTGGGACTCCACGACGGCGAGCGCGTTGCGCGTTGCGTCAGGATGCCGACGCGCGGCCCGAAGGCCCGAAGGCACGACGCGACACTGCGAAACAATACTCGGGCAGGCAATCGCAGGGGAATCACGCAAGGGAAGTCCTGGCGGAGCAAAAACAAAAGCGACGCGGCGTGACGCTCGCAGTGTAGGCGGCCCGGCACGCGCCGCACATCGCTCCCAAAAAAACGGTGAAAAAAAAACGAGGAACGCAACTAGGAAAACAAAACGAAAAGCACGGCGATAGTAATGTCAGCTAATTAGCTTCGCAGAAACGAACGCACGTGCCGCGTGCCGATTCTTAAAAGTCGCTCTGTCTCCCTCGCACTATGCAAGGTTCCCCAAGGGTGCGAGAGAGACAGGAGCACCGCAACCATTCGTCGCGGGCATGACGCGAACGCTGGGGGGATTTTCTATCCGCCGGGGCGTTGTTCCGTGGCTGTGTCCGCCACTCCAGGCTCACTCCGGACGACGTCCTCGTCGCTCTGTCTCTCTCGCACGCACGGGGTGCTGCGGAGGGGTACGAGAGAGACAAGCAGGCCGTGTCTGGAACCAGACCAGGCGCTCATGACCCGCACCATGAGGTGGCACCGCGTGGCTCGCGGCGTGGCTGTCTCTCTCACGCCCTACGGCTCGCCCCCTGAGTGCGAGAGAGACAGCGAGAAGCAGCGGAATCGCCCGGCTGTTGACGTCTCCCGCGAGGCCGCGGATTCGCGAAAGCCGTATACCGGATCGGCGGCGCGGCGGCGCCGGGGATGGGATGGGCGGGTTGTTGTGCAGGGCCTGTGGCAGCATGGCAGCCTCAGCCTGGGGCTCCCCCATGCACGGACGCACCATTGACGTCAAAGGCATCGACTCGCCCGGCGAGGCAGCGCGGCAGCGCGGCCCCCGTGAGGTAGGCAAAGTGTGACGCCATACCTCCTGCGGGGCGGCAGGGCGGAGGGGTAGCAGCACTAGCGGCTCTAGCAGCCCGGGGGCAAACCCCAGCCAGTCGATACCGGCATGGCGTGCATGGCTTGCCTGGGGCTGCCTGGGCCTGGGCCTGGGCCTGGGCATGCCCTGCAGGGCGGCTGGCTGGACAGGACGGGACGGGCGGACGCGCGGGGCGGGGAGGGGAGGGGAAGGGGTTGTGTTCCATTCACCTCAGCAGCGCCGCTCCGCCGCTTGCGTCACTAGCACCGCCGGATAAATAAGTAAAATAAACACGAATAAATAATTGAGACACCGCCGGGAAAGAAGACCCAGCTCACGGCCTAACCTTGCCCGACTGAAAAATGGAAAAGGTTATTCACACTGTCGGCGCGCACAGGCGACGCGGGGAAAACCGCGAATGGGCAATAATGTCGGGCGGAAACGCCGAGGCGCGGCAAGGCGAGGAAGCGCAGGCAGGCAGCAGGCAGCGCGGTCGGGTCGCTGCGGAGGGAGGGACGAGTTTAGGCGGCCGGGCAAAACTCTGGGCACTGTTAAGAGGGTGCCCCTGACAAACTGAGGGCCAGGTCAACTCGGGGGTAACTCAGGGGTAACTCGGGGGTAACTCGGGGGTAACTCAAGGGAAGTCGGGGGGAAGTCGGGGGGAACTCGGGGGGAAGTCGGGGGGAACTCGGGGGGAAGTCGGGGGGAACTCAGGGGCAAGTCGGGGGGAACTCGGGGGGAACTCGGGGGCAAGTCGGGGGGAACTCAGGGGTAACTCGGGGGCAAGTCGGGGGGAACTTGATCGACTCGCCCAAACACTAGAAATACGCTCCAAACTAGCACCGTTGCCTTTGTCTCGTTGCCCCGATTCTAAAAGTGCCCCTACTTGCCCCTCTAGCTCAGCGGTTCCCAACCTTGGGGTCGCGACCCCAAATGGGGTCGCGAAAAAATTTTGAGGGGTCGCGGCGAGGTGGCTGGGGTCGCCTGGGGTCGCGGTGGTTTCCCGGCTGGCCCACACGCCGAGCACTGGCTGCTTAAATGCCGCAAAGTTGATCAAAACGGTCACAAATGTGTGTAAAAGATCGTGTTTTGGGTCGACTTTAAGCATCCACTGCTTCTGATCCGAGGCGGTAAATCGCCCTCCCTCAACGGGCAATTGGTCTTTGGACCTTCCTTTTGCATGCCTTTGTTACGGAGTGCGATTATCTGCCTTAGTTTGGGAGCAGTTTTGCCGCAAAGTTGATCAAAACGGTCACAAATGTCTGAAAAATCGTGTTTTGGGCCGACTTTTAGCATCCACTGCGTCTGATCCGAGGCGGTAAATCGTCCTCCGTCAACGGGCAATTGGTCTTTAGACCTTCCTTTAGCATGCCTTTGTTACGGAGTGCGATTATTTGCCTTAGTTTGGGAGCAGTTTTGCCACAAAGTTGATCAAAACACGATTTTTCAGACATTTGTGACCGTTTTGTTCAACTTTGCGGCAAAACTGCTCCCAAACTAAGGCAGATAATCGCACTCCGTAACAAAGGCATGCTAAAGAAAGGTCTAAAGACCAATTGCCCGTTGACGGAGGACGATTTACCGCCTCGGATCAGACGCAGTGGATGCTTAAAGTCGGCCCAAAACACGATTTTTCACAGACATTTGTGACTGTTTAGACCAACTTTGCGGCAGTACTGCTTCCAAACTGAGGCAGATAATTGCACTCCGTAACAAAGGCATGCAAAAGGAAGGTCCAAAGACCAATTGCCCGTTGAGGGAGGGCGATTTACCGCCTCGGATCAGAAGCAGTGGATGCTTAAAGTCGACCCAAAACACGATCTTTTACACACATTTGTGACCGTTTTGATCAACTTTGCGGCATTTAAGCAGCCAGTGCTCGGCGTGTGGGCCAGCCGGGAAACCACCGCGACCCCAGGCGACCCCAGCCACCTCGCCGCGACCCCTCAAAATTTTTTCGCGACTCCATTTGGGGTCGCGACCCCAAGGTTGGGAACCGCTGAGCTAGAGGGGCAAGTAGGGGCACTTTTAGAATCGGGGCAACGAGACAAAGGCAACGGTGCTAGTTTGGAGCGTATTTCTAGTGTTTGGGCGAGTCGATCAAGTTCCCCCCGACTTGCCCCCGAGTTACCCCTGAGTTCCCCCCGACTTGCCCCCGAGTTCCCCCCGAGTTCCCCCCGAGTTCCCCCCGACTTGCCCCTGAGTTCCCCCCGACTTCCCCCCGAGTTCCCCCCGACTTCCCCCCGAGTTCCCCCCGACTTCCCCCCGACTTCCCCTTGAGTTACCCCCGAGTTACCCCCGAGTTACCCCTGAGTTACCCCCGAGTTACCCCCGAGTTGACCTGGCCCTCAGTTTGTCAGGGGTGGGGCTCGAAGCTCAAACGGGACTCGAATCCCCCATTTCGACCAAAATTGTGGTTTGTGCTGACTTTGGACGGCCAATGCGTCCAATCTCCGTCCCTTGACGGAGCAGTTTAGAGGCTTCCTTTCGGACGACTTTTGTGCGGAGGGTGATTTCTCGCCTTGGTTTCGGGGCAGTCCTACTCCAAAGATGGTCGAACCGGTGTAGACAAATGTGTAGACATCGCGATTTGGGCTGACTGCCATCTCGAAACGTGTCTGGGTGAAGTGTCCGTTGTAGTACAGCAGGTGTTTTGGCCTACTGTGGAGTGGAATACTTTTGGCGGTCAGGGCCGGGCTAGGCCGGGCGAAGGCCGAACCAGACAGACACCTGCTCATTACTTGGAGTTACTCGGACGACGCCTGGCTTGCGCTGCTTGCGCTACTTGCGCCTGGCGAGGAGGCTATTGACCCACACACCCACACCGCGTGTGCAC